TGTTTTATATTTTCTTGGTTGGATATTACAAGCAGAGAAATGAATGAGCAGAAAAGGTGTTTTATATAAAGTAATTGTTTTAAACTCTATATGGTATTTCAGTCTTATTTTGTGTAGGATTTGTACTGCAGTCTACACAAGTGAAAATCATGGAAACTAAAAAAAAATCCAAAAAATGCACGATTTGGGCGGAGACGGGAAAAAGTTAACTACCGTTCAGTAGTACTGTAGAGAGGCGACCTTCAAGACTTCTCGTACGATCGTATGAACCTACCGGTACCGTACGTTGTTGTCGCCAGAAATTCCTGCTCGTTGCTCGTTGCTCGTTGCTGCCTGCTCGTTGCTGCCTGCTCGTTGCCGCCGTAGCTGCATCGTTCGAGATTGAAGGCCTCACAGATACAGGACAAGCCATGCCAATACTTACCGGCACGTTCCGAACGGTTCCTTCTTTCAACTGCGTAGAAAATTGAAGATGAATAACCATCAGCCTTCAAATGATATAATTAGGCTTATCGCTCAGCTGGTTGGATTGTTTGTCAAAGTATAGTGCGCCGGACGGTGTCAACTGCTCACTTCGTCACGGGATTTAAGAAGATGTCTTTTTTCGATACTCAATATCCTAGCAACGTGGATACGCCTTCGATTGTAGACAGTCGTGAGTGAAACTATTGGACGTCAGCTATCTCTGCACGAATGAGCAACGGTCCCGCCATTTGGTACTGTTTCGGGCGTTCCATTGTTATAGAAGGGATGGGCGCGGAGTTGGCTAGATTTTAGGATCAATCCCACTAGCCGACTGCAGGAATATCATCGATCTCAATATCATGTGTTTTTTCCGGTTATAGATAAACCTCAACCGTGGCGTGGCAACATACCACTTAGGTCTTCTGTGAGTTATTTTGCCGATACTTCTCATAATTTGAGAGCAGACTTCGTCAAAACTATCTTAATTTCTCTATACTTGTCACTTACACCGAGTTCTCATTTGGTGTAAAAAAAACGCATTTTTCTAGACATCGGCTGAGGGGGAACGTCAAGCTTTAAGAAGTTCGGAACCTAACAAAGTATTTGTGATTCACACCACTGATCCAGGGAAACGAAGGAGAGACTCGTTGAAAATACAACTGTGTCATGGATATTTCCGACGAGGAAAATGAAAGTGGAAATGATGTCGGTGCAAATGATACTCCCGAAGAGGAAAAAGAAAGTGTAATTGATGACCCTGCAAATGACAATTCTGAAGAGGAAAAACAGAGCGGATTTTTTGTCCCTGCAAATGATCTCGCACGTCTAATTACAATCATGAACGACGAGAAAGAAGATTTAGATAAGAACGGAAAAGATCTAGTCGAGGAACATGCGCATCTTGTCACGAAAAGCAGAAAAAGAAAGTCTGCTCAGCGACATCTCTCTTTTGCCAAGCGAATTGGACAAAGAGGCCAGAAAGATATCATGCCCGATCAGTCACTTGTTCGATTTGTTGTTGATGGAGAAGATTGCGATAATCTATGCCTGGATAAGCCTTCAATTGATCTAGATCGCATTCTCGAACAAGATTCGGTAGATTATGATGGTATCACTTACAAGAAAAACAGATGCTACAAGCACAAAGTGGACGGAGATAGAGTATTTGGAATCAAACATTTTCTACGAGAAATCAACACAGCTTCAGAACCAGAATCATGCGTTTCAGCCTATTGTGTTGAGATCATCCCATTTAATAGAACGGTGTTGGAGACAGTTAACCCAACTCCAGAATTGAAGTTCATACAGCGATGTGGCTCGGAGAGAGAAATTCATCTTTCTGAATTTGAAAAAGAAATTGAGAAATCGCCGCCATTACCGCCGTTTATGTATCATGAACGCCAATCGGGATCAAGCCATTTGTTGTTCGGATTGGAGGATGCCTCCAAGGCACCGCAAAGAAATGGACCCAGAGATCTCATAAAGTCATCTTTGAGAGGAATAGATTTCTTTGCTGGCGCTGGACTCATGTCAAATGGTTTTCAAGCAGTTGGATTGAATATTGTGGTTGCTGTTGAGAAAAATGAAGATGCCATCAAGAGTTACGGAAAAATACATGGCGCTAAGGTATCTAAGGTATCTGAAATAAGTTCCMACGAATGCAAACAGATTCTTTCAACAAGGGAAGGCAAAATTGCATTTCATGATACTGTGGAAACTTTCTTACAGAGATGTGCACAGGATTTCTCCTTCAAAGAAGCTCTAGGTACAATCGACTTCGTCGTTACATGTTCCCCATGCCAAGGTTTCTCAAAGCAAAATGTCTTTAAGCAAGGAAACGTTGAGCAAAACAATAACGAGTCTTTACGAATTCTAAACGCAGCAGAGTTGTTGCAACCGAAACTTTTTGTTTTTGAAAACGTTCTAGGGATGTGGGAGGAGAGAAATATCAAAGGATATCTACAAAAGATGGTCAATGGACTCACTTTTGATTTTGGTTACAATGTCAAGGTTGGAAAACTATGTGCCGCCGACTTTGGTGACCCCCAACTGAGACCACGGTTGATTCTCATTGCTTCTCTTTCCCATATTGGTGTTCCAGTATTTCCAAATCCGACCCACAGTCCGAGTTATTTGTGCAATACTGTGTCTGGTGGATTGTTTCCTTACGTCACAGCAAAAGACGCATTGATCATGGAAGAAAAAAAGCATCCAGAAAGTGAACTACTCATCAACGACGATGGAAAAGTTCGAGATCCAAACAAACCTACAACCACGGTATTGGCAAGTAAATCATCCGCTCATTACAATCTGAATCGGTTCTACTCTCTCTCCGAAAACGCTATTTTGATGGGGCAGTCGTCGGATTTTGTATCGAAGCTCGTCGGGACCAACAAGTCAAAACAACGACAGATAGGCAATGGTGTGTCCATGGGCATGGCACAGGCAATCGCCCGATCTTGCTTCGAAGTATTCAGATGGTGTTGGAAAGAAGCCCCAAAACCCCGAACGACACTGGTGCCCAAAAGATCCGACGAAGAGGAACTGGATTGGTTAGTAACTACTGACGACGAGAGCAATGGGGAAGTTGATGTGAAGGATCTCAGGAAAGAAACCTCTATCGAGATGAAAAATAAAACAGATGACAAGGGGCCCGGTGAGGAATCACCATTTGTACCGGGAATATCACACGAAGTTGTCATCGTTGAAGCTGGTAGCAAGAAGTCCGGCGAAGAAACCTCCGTGAACAGGATGAAAAGTGAACTAGATGGCAAGAAGCCTGGCAAGGAAACATCGAATATGCTGGTAATGTCAAAAAATGAAGAAAAAGTGGAAGCTTATAGCAATCAACCCGATAAAAAAACTTCAACATTGTTAGAAAGAATGTCCGATGAGGATGTAAAATACGAATCAGGTGGCAGCGAGCCCAGCAAAGAAATACCTAGCTCATCTAAAATGGTAGACAAGAGTGTAAAAAAGGAAGCTGATAGAAAAACAGATTTGTTCAACATGTCTGACAAGGATGTAAACTCTGAAGCTGATCGCAAGAAAATCAGCAGAGAAAGATCTATTTTGTTGGCCACGTCTAACGAGGATGTAGCACCAAGAGCTGATCTCAGGAGGTTTCTCGATATCAAAGACACTCATGCTTTATTGGAAAGATCTGACAATGATGTTTCTCCCAAAGCTGTTGGCAAGGTGTCAGGTGGCAAAGATAGACCCGTTTTGTTGGATGTATCCGAACCTAGCAGAGAAAGATCTATCTTGCTGCACACATCTAACGAGGATGTAGCACCGAAAGCTGAAATCTGTTTACCCGGCAGCGCAGACAATCATGGTTTATTGGAAAGGTCTGACAATCATATTTCTTCCAAAGCTGTTGGCAAGGTGTCAGGTGGCAAAGATAGTCCCATTTTGTTGGATGTATCCAAACCCAGCAGAGAAACATCTATTTTGTTGGACACATCTAACGAGGATGTAGCACAGAAAGCTGAACTCTGGTTACCCGGTAGCAAAGACACTCATGATCTGTTGGAAATGTCTGACAATGATGTTTATCCCAGAGCTGTTGGTAAGGTGTCAGGTGGCAAAGATAGTCCCATTTTGTTGGACGAGTCTGACGAAGAGCTTGAATCTTAGATCAATAGCAAGGTTTTGGACAAGAGAAGAGCGACCCTCTCTTCTTCTTTTTTCCTTCCTCGGAAAAATAGTACAAAGAGATAAAGGAGGAGATCTTGTCCGAAAGTGATAACTGATAACCCTTGAGATTACTCTTCAGACGACTCTGTTGATGGATTTTCCTTAATTAACATGACTCATGGCGACTGGTAACGGCACAAGAATCGTCTATCGGAAACGATTGACCAAAATTTTCAACAAGAGATTCAAAACGGATGGTAAGAAGAACAGCCATGAAATTTCATTTATTTATGAAGACAAAGAACTTCTCCATATATTAAAAGCCTATTATTCCATCGGTATATTCCAAGCTAGTCGTTTCTGATGGGACTGTAGTACAATATTTTAATGATCAGTAATCATAAACTTCTTAATGTGTATTTTTTCAACAGAAATAAAAATCTGAATTCAATGCCGGATTCGTTAGTTCTAAACCGCCACTAAAGAGCTGACGTAACACCGAGGAGAGGGTTTACGGTCATCCGATGCCGAACGAGATAAAGCAGTATAGCATCCTAAGTAACTCCGTTCAATCGACTTTCACCTTGACTCGGTAGGTGGAGACCAGATGTGCACCGCCCATGCCCCAAATCAATCCCAGGATCAAACAGGGAATTGCGGCACTCATGCGCATCTCGGTTGTGTGTTTTAGGTCTTCGTAGAAGAACCTATCGAAGTGGACCGCAAACAGGAGTAGACCAGACCAAAGACCGATGTTGGCGGTGGACAGCACCAAGTACAACGGCCGTATATATTGCTTCATGAATCTTCCAAGACCTGCGATCAAAGCCCCGGAGAGAATGCCCGAAACAATTATGGCAATGGCTGCATTCTTGCGAAGATCCCAAATGGATTCCCATTGCATGTATCGGTGTCTTTTCCAGAGTTTATCACCGGTAAACTCTCTATGAAAATAATGATCTATTCCCAACAATAACAATGCGGTTGCCAAAACAATCGTAGCGAACGTTGCAGTTTCTTGGAGAACAGGACGGAGGCGCAGGCGCCGCGTCCCTGCAATGGATGCGTACGAGGAAACAGCTCCCAGGCAAAACAGAATTCTCAACAGTTGGTATGAACTCTTTTCTATCCCCTTTAGATCGGCCCGGAATCCCCTGAGAAATGGGGGAACCTTGTGCCTCGGCGTCGCCGACAACCAGAATCTTGCGCCGATCGCGGCGCTGTTCGCGACAAGGAGGAATCCGACCACCGCCGGGGACGAGAAGAAAGTGCACTCGCCCGCGCGCCCGCTGCTTCGGCGGTTCCCCATGAACATCCGCGCCAGCAGAACGATCTGGATCCCGAGGACCAGCCCCGTGAAGACAAAGCCAAACATGATGTTGCGCCGCTTCTCCCACATGTGCGAGAGATCGTGCCAGAAGACGCTCCCGAACTCGCCGTGGTCTCGCAGCCACGACAGGATGCGCCTCACGCAAGGAACGTCCGGGATCGTGTCGAGGGGCTTGTGGAGGAGGTAGTAGTAGATCCCGTTCCAGTAGTTCGACTCGATGCAGACCCCGCAGCTCTTGGCACACATGGCGTGGAAAAACCTGCTCCGGCCTTCGCACTTTTCCCTCGTTGCGTCGCGGTGGCAGGACGTCGACAGATCGTAGCACACGCGCGTGGTTCCGTGCCCCCGCCCGATGTCGAATCGTTCGCCCTCCTCTCTCGCGTACATTCTGTCCAGAGCGATCCGGTCGAGGATTTTCTCGTCCCGCAGCTTCTCCAGATCTTGCTGGCGTTTCTGGCCGATGCCCACGCCTCCGGTAAAGTCGTCCGTCCCCGCGTCGACCACGAGCAGACGGTCCGAGATCTTGAGAGGTATCTGCAGCATGAATCCCGGGGGGACGGCCTTGCCCGCGGATCGGAGAGTGTCGCCGTCGTCGAAAAAGATCTTGATGGTGGGCCCTCCCGATGCGTAGCGATTGACGACGCTGACGGATGTCTGCATCATGCGCAGGACCCAGTCTTCGAGGTTTCCCCCGGTGTAGGTTTCGAACTCGAAGAGGTCCAGCCGCGATCCTTTCTTGGCAAAGACAATGATCGGGTCGGAGGCTCTGGCCGAAACCCGAAAGGCCCTTGTCAAGGGTGTAGCCTTGTTGAACCGTACCTTGGCTGTTTGCATGATTTCCGTCCAGTCGAAGGAGTTTGTTCCCCGGGGTCCAAAGGGGTAGGGAAACTGGTAGTCCTTTTCGGCTGTTTGTTCTGCCTTTTTGTTTCCCACAAAGACGCACAAAAAGTGTTTCTTGAACGTGTTGGTGTTCTTGTCGAACAAGTTGCTCCTTTCGTGCAGTTGTTCCAGCGTGGAGATCCTGAGGAGGGCCTCCTGCGCCTCCTGCGCATGCATCTCGCTCTGCTTCTTGCGTTGTTGTTCTTTTTTCATCCGCTCCTGTTCCCTCTGGAATCGTTCCCGGGTCTCCCTTGCCTCCTTTTCACGCTGCCTCCGCTCCTGTTCTTTTTGTTTCGTGGGCCTCCGGTTCCGGCGTTCCCGTGCCTCCTTATCTCGTAGGTGCTGGTCGTACTTGCGCTTGTTGGTCTTGTCCCCGAGGATCTCCCAGGCTTCCTGGATTCGATGGAAACGCTTGTTGGCCACATCCGGATCGAGGTGGCGGTTCTTATCGGGGTGCGCGGACTTGGCCATTTCGCGGTACGCCTTTTTGATGGCGTCCCGGTTGTTCCGGTCCTTGCGCTTGATTTTCAGCACCTTGTAGGGGTCCTCCCTTGGCAAGACGTAGGCGGTGAATCCAGCATGGACGAGGGCCGGGAGGGATGCCGCGATCCACCAGCAAGCGAGCAACACCACGAACCTGGACCGGAAGAGGCGCTTCCCCCTGCCGGTCGGGGACGAGGGACGTCGGAGCAGAAGCCTTCCCATTCTCGGTAGCTGCGTTTGGATTGAAACACGCACGTGGAGGAGCGGGGAACGACTCTTCTAGTTCATTCGCAGCCGCAGCGGATCAGATCCCGTGGTGATAGTTCTTTGACGACGATCGATGTTCGGTTGACGAGGTGAGACCTTCGGGTATTGCAATCGGATTGGTGTGGGTTGTGTTGTTGCTTGGTGACCTTCACTTCGTCAAGAACAGGAAGAAAAAAATCGGTCGCCGAAGCGAAAAATTACAGTGCTGTACGTGGTACGTACCATCATACATAAGGTTACCAGATTACCAGATTACGTACTTAACCGCACGAATGCGCTGCATATTAAACAGAGATGTCACAAATACTAATTAATAAAATTTCAACGTTGGTACTGTACGGTATCTTGATCGTTAAGTACCGTACAGCACGAGGTGACTTTTTCGCTAACACCGCAACCCTGTGATGGGGCTGCTTGGCTTCAATGTTTTTATCCGACTCCCGTTGGGGTTGGGGTTACGGTTCGGTCACGAATGGTTAGTGAGTGAGTGGCCCACTCTCTTGTGTTTTTGATTCTGGGGTTTTGCCTCGCCGGAGCGTGCAAGCAGACCGCAATGAGAGACCGCCGCGCCAATTCTTGTGACAGCAAATACACGAAGCCACGGACGACCGGAGTGTGATGTACGTACGATACGGTAATGTGCTGAACTGTACCGGGTACGAGTAGCGCACTGTAGAAAACGATGGAACCCCTAGATCTGTACTGTACGTAGCGGTACGAGTACCACCGTACGAGTAGTGGTCGTACGTACCAGTACGGTAGCATACGTCCTCGTACTGTAAGTAAAATTGAAATTGAATTCTCCGTTCCTCGCCGGGAAGCGAACGGCAGCAAAGAATCTTCTTGCGACAACGACAAGCACCTCGCTCTTCGGCAACAAGCGCCAAGCGCCAAGCGTCCGATGCTCCGGCCACTACCGGTGTTCCAAAGCACGCAACAAACCAGGAGAAGATAGGGCACGCAAGAAAGAAGAGAGAGAACCTTTCGTCGGCCGATCGAAATGTTCCGCAAGGCAGCCGGCGGTGGGAGAGCACCCGGGAAGAGAAACAATGCTCCCGCCGACGCGAGCGAAGGCACAGAGGAAGATCCGGCGAAGGGCCAGAGGACTCGGGACAGCGGGGTTGCGAGGGGAGACCTCGATTTCGATCGCAATGGCGATCGCAATGGCGATGGCGACCCTTCCTCCGAACACGACGCCGATCCCCCCGGACAATACACCGGGAGATACGATCCAGGGGAAGCCCTGATCTACGCCGCTCCCACGGTGGACACGCTGGGAGACGAGGAATCCCTGTCGCGGATGTATCACTCTCCGCGCCAGGCGAGCGACACCCCGGGCGGAGGGTACCGGGCCTTTTCGAAAACCACCAAGAGCAACAGCGACAACGCGAGCGGAGGCAACAGCAGCACCCATCACTATGGCAACTCTGGCTCGGGCAACACGAACACAAAGCCACTCATGCGAGAAGATTCGCTCCTGCTGCCGTCGCTGTCGTCGTCGCTCTCCGCGTCCCTGTCGATCGCCGAGCGCTCGATGGGCCAGACCCCCACGAGGGGCGTTCCGAACCACGGAAGCCGGGCCTCCTCCAACGAGGGCAGCTCCAGGAGCTCCCGGAGCCTCCGCAGCAACCGCAGCAAAATCCGGAGGCAGAGAAGCCTGATCGAGCAGCAGCAGCAGCAGGAAGACCAGCGCCGGCGCCTGCAGCAGCAACAGTTCCAGCGGCTGAACCGGGAGCGGAGAAGGAGGCAGGCCAGCAAGAGCTCCCGTGAGTTCCAGCTGGAAGAGGACAGGGCGTCCGTGGTGGTCCGCAGCGTCCCCGTGGCCGAGCGAACGGCCTTTGACAAGAAGCTCCCGCCCTACCTCGTTCCGGGCCAGGGCTCCGCCAGCAGCAGCGCCGCCAGCAACGTAGCCGGGAGCGGGGAAGCGGTTTCTGGTCGAAAGGTCTCTCCCAGCCCGCAGCACTGGCGCGTCTTGCAGCAGCTGTCCAACGTGACCCACGTTCGCCAGCTGGCCTTTTCCAGCGGCCTCGGTGCGGCCGCCGATGTCTTTTGGAGCGAGGAATCGGAAGACCTCGAGGATAATAGCCCCTACGAACCACACCAGGCGAACACGGTGGGAGCCGAAACGACGGACGGCGCGGCGGTCCACAAACCCAGCACAAGCAGCGGGAAGGTTCCCCGGGACGGACGCTACCGCTCCATCGATCCGGTCAAGGCCACGATGGACGCCCTGCCCAAGACACCGCCCCTCCTCAGCAACAAGAAACACCGGTTGCCCATGCGGGCGGACGTGGGATTCCCGCACGCCGGCGCGGACGAAATCGCGAGGAAGCAGAACGAGATCCGCATGGAAACGGAGTGGGAGGAGGCCAGCCCCCGGCTCGTGGTCCTGGTCACCGGAGACGACCTCGGAACGGCCGACCACGACGACGACGCCGAAGAGAGCAAGGCAAGCTGCGACCGGTCGAGGGACAGCGAAACCACCGCGACCGGACGCCTACACAAAACGAGGGGACTGCCGGGGATGCCCTGGGCCGGGAAGGACCTGGTACGGGCCAAGGAACGAAATCACCGCCACTTTTCGAGAAGGCAGGAAGGTATGCGTTCGTCGCCCCCACCGTCAAGCAGAAACGACGACGCGAGGAACGCCACAAACATGCTGGCACCACCCCTCGACGCAATCCACAGCAGAACCATGGGCTGGAGGCCACGGCCCTTCCACGACCGGCCCCCCGGCCTGCGCTACGCCCTGGTCAGCCCGATGACGGTTCGCTTTTCCGTCGGAAAAATGGAGCCCCTCGTGTGTTCCATGGCCCTCTATTCCCTCAAAACGGGAAAGATCAGCGAGGAATTCTATTTTCCCGCGGGAGACTGGGACGACAAGCTGCGACTGGACGCCATCGAGAAGCGGCGGCAGGGCGGGGAGCGGAGGGAATGCGCCGACGAAGCGGATTTGTTGAACGAATTGTGGAGCCAGCGGAAACACAAGGCAATCTTTGCCTACAACACGTGGGCGGTGGATGCGCGGGAACCAGAAAAGGACGATGCCCTGCACGTGGTTCTACAGGTTTACAAGGTGTCCCACACTGATGCTCTCACGGCGTACTTGACCTCGAGCAGCACCGAATACCGGAGTTCCTTTTCCTCCTCGTCCGACAAGAAATCGTGGAGGAAAAAGCTAAGGAAGCGATTCGAAAAGGACCAGAGACGACCAAATGGTGGCAGCTCGGTAGCGGGAGACGATGCCGAGATCGAAAAAGCCATTCTTCGCTCTAGCTCGGTCTTTGAAGCGTACGGAACGCAGTTCACGTCCCCCCTCTGTTACGGGATCACCCGCTTGTTCCCGGAAGACACGGACGCCACGAGCCGGATCAACACGTGGCCACGGGGCCAGGTGCAGCAGAACATGGATCTGTACGCGTCTCCGAGCTACTCGGAATCCCAGGACGACTTTCTGAAGCGCCTCCGAAAGGCAGCGGCTTCGGCACCGACCTTCCACGGAAGCGACGCCCTCGGGCACTCCCGCTCGACGTCGTCCTCCAACCTCTCCACCGTGTCCGAAGAACTTACCCGGAGCACGAGCGGCGGCGACGAAGACCCGCCCGCGGAGCCGCAGGCGCCCGGCGCATCGAGTGCCACGAAGAAGAAGGGGGGCATGCGCCGGTTCGTGGCGTCGAAGCGGAGCTCGAAAAAGGGCCCGGGTTCCGATTCCGGTGCCAAGCACATCGAAGACACCCCCTCGATACCGGGTTCCGTGACCCTCTTCACCTCCCATCTGGGGGTCGATTTCTTGCAGTCCATGCTTGCGACGCCCCCCGAGCTGATCGACAAGATCTCGATCCAAAAGGCCGCACCCAACGACAGCGGCGAGCCCGAAGAAGTCGTCCTGCCCAGGATTTTGGTGGACGCCTCGGGAGATTCCGCGATCATGGTCGATCCCAAAAAGACGGCCACGAATTCTTCCAAGCGTTCCGACCTCGTTCGTCTTCCGTCCACCCGGCTGGCAGAACACCTCGACTCGTCGGAATTCCGAGAAGTCCTCTATTTCTCTCCCGAACCCGACAGAATATTCGAGCCGTCCGATCACAGGTCCTTGCTGAACCTGTTGTACCTCTATCCCCGCCTCCTGGTTCTGAAATCAAGCGACGGCGGGGGCACGGTCGCAAAAGACGGGCACCGGCACAAATACACCGTTCGGATGCGTCTGGTTCAGAACGTTTCTTCGACCAGTGAGTCAGGGGTGATCGAGTCGCGGAACGAGATCATCACCTCGTTCCACAACCCCGCGTCGTGGAGCGGATCCAATCTGCTGCAGTCGGTCTTTACCCGGATTCCGAGAGACGGTGCCGAATCGGGACCGAAGCGCCGACAGAAGGCAGACGACCCCCGGGCAGGCATTTCCCTCCGCGACGAATTCAAGATGAAGCTTCCCGTGATTCTAGACGGGACCTACTTTCTGCAGTTTTCACTCTTTGCGGTCGAGATCCACGACTACATCGACGGGCGCTCTTTGCTCGGAAGCCGCGATTCGTTCAGCAGCGGGAGCAGTGGAGAGGCGGACTGTGGGATCACCCTAAGCCCGCTGGCCGAGACCACCATCCCGCTCAGCTCTTCTTCCACCCGCGATCCCAGGTCCGGTGTGAAGGCTACGACGGTCATACCGAACGGCTGCCACCGCCTCAAGCTGGGAAACTTCCAGCTTCAAGTGGAAACCCGCCTCGTGAGCTCAATCCACGTCTCCGACCCAGCGGTGGGTGCCGCGCTGCGCGAGTTTCCCCTCGCCAGCAACGACGGCCACCCGGGAAACATCCGGGGCAACGAAGTTCTGGAGGAAATGGCCATAAGCAGCCGCCACAGCGCAGTTGGGAGATCCGTGTCCTCCCGCGGATCCGAGGGTTTCCCGGCCAAGATATCGTTTGCGACACTGATGGCTGCGGCCTCGGGAAACGGGTTGGCGAGTCACTTTCACTCTCTCTTCTACCTGCACCTGCGCAATCTAACGAAAACAACCKGGCAGGAGATGGAGACCAGCGAAAAATTCATTGTAGACAACATGCAAAGCATGCTGGTTCTATTCCAGAAAGTCAAGTCGTTTTTCTTGTCTCAAGGTCGCGACCGAGACAGGGTACGCCTTGCTATGTTCTTCAAAGCCAACCTGGATTTATTCGACGAAGCTTCGTACAACGTCACTTCAAACGCCCAACACATCGAAGACGACTCTGCATCGGAATATATTGTGGAACAAAGGCATTCGCTGGAAATGGACGTTACCGAAGAAGAACAGGACGAAGTGTTTGACGGTGGTGCGATCAGAAGACGGACGAGGGATCCCGTGAGCTCCGATCTTGTAATTCGTCTCACTAGAACATACTCTACTTTGGAGGCTACCGAGGTTAGCTTCTCGCGGGTTGCTTACGGTGCCTCGAAAAGCGATCACATGAGACTCGAGGCTCAGCTCGGAAACGAGCGGGGTCGGGTAACGAAACTTTTTGACGACGACGAGACCGTTGTAACCCTCATGTCGCCAAAACACATTGACAGTTTTATTGAGGGGGGAAAGAGCTTCGATAAAATGACAAAGGGTCTTTCCATATCGCAACACGATGAAAACCTCAACGAGAGCCAGGTCCATTCCGTCAACGTTCTCGAAAAAACCGCGGGTAATCCGGAGAAGCTCATCGACATCGAGATGCCCGGCAGCCAAACGCCCATGTCGGAATTCAACATCGGAATGCGGATGAAATCTGCCGCGCAGGTGGTGCTTGCCCCGTGCGCCACCGTTACACCCACGCTCGCGGCGTTTCTTTGTAGGACAAGTCCCCGCAATTTCTCGTCGGCCTTTGGGGGCATCGAGACGACCCCGGACTTTGAGAGTGTTCCAAAAGCTTTGCAAGCCGGCCTCGAGCCCATCACGGAGGAAGACGATCCAGCGCCAATATCGTGTCCCGGCTCCGATCTCGATGACGAGGACGCCGATGAGATTGCACCCGAAAAACGCGACGGCAGCTCTTCTCCGTACTGCACGAACGACGGTATATTTCGCGGGGCAAGAAATATTGTCAAGCTGGAATTCTCAATTCGACAAGGCTGTAGCGATAGAAGAAAAGCCCAAGTTTCGAGGGGGCAGTATGTGTACGAAACCATCATGGTACTTTGGCTACAAGCATGGTCGAATTACGTCAGCAATCTTCCCCAGAATTCAGAAAATGGAGTTGCTATAAATTTTCTTGGTCAGGGAGTGATTGGCAATACCTTCTCTATGTTTTATCTCCAAATCGACTTTATCCTGCCGATGCTGCTGAAATCAGTAATATTGAGGTGCAGCCAATTGCTCAAGGCGCCTGGAAAAAGGGGGGCCCGATGCATTTTGGATGAAGACCACGTCTATGTCTTTGAATCCTTCTTTGAGATGCTCGCAATTGGTTTGATGGGTCAGGCGATGACTGAACTGCAAGAACCGACAGAACACGGCACTCTATGCGATGCAATCAACACATGTGATCACATACTTGATTTCATAATTGGTCTTCTTGCAGTGTTCCATCCAGCTCATATGGAAGGAATAATTTCCAGGTTCATCATGACCCTTCGCAAGTGTGAAAATGACAACAATGCTTACCGAAAAAAGACCTCCATCGAGTGGAATGAAGCGACAGTCCATCGAACCAGATGCTCGTGCCAATTGAGACTCCGAATAGTCGAAAAGCTCGCCGTTGTTCCAAACTTTGTTGCCCTGAACTACCCGCAACGTTTTTTAAGTAAACACCTTTCTTCGCGGAGAGAAAAGTCTAGTTGGACTATGCAACACGAAATTGGATTATCCAACAATGGCAACAAGCAAGAACGGGAATCAAACGCGATGGATGATGGGCTACTCCCAAGAGCTGGTTGGCTTGCTTCTATTCTCACGAACGAAAGCTTATCCATATGTGCGCACTCTTGTGAGACGGTCATAACTGACGTTATGGCTACAATTGAAACTCATGAATCGAAGAACGATAAGACACCGTTACGATCTTCCAAGAAAAAGCAGGCTGTGCCTTCGTTGAAACGATCTAACTTGTTAATGTTTCAGTCAATGGCCATCCATGCAATATCATGTGTTTACGAGCTACTAATTCGTAGACATGCGATGGATAGACGATTCCAAAAGGAGAGCAGTCGAGAAAGAATAGCAGCGCTTTTTACTGGACCCATATTTGAAAGGTCCTTGGCAAGTGTGCGATGGCTAGCTCGAGTAGACTCAACTCACAAGGTGCGATCAATCTGGCTTTTGTGTTTTGTCTACATTCTACAGGAGGCTCCTGAGAATTTAGTCAGAGAGCACATTCGCAAATATAGCAATCCATCAGACTTCAAGATTCACCAATTCATCCGCCTTCTTCGTCTTGGAAGCGCCACATTCCAGAGCTTTGTCGATCAAGAAAGACATTGCATGTTCCCATCGGAAATCGATAAAGAAATCTCACCATGGCTACTGCAGGAATCGTTCAATACAGTTTGTGCTACCACTATTATTGTGGTCGAGGAGTGTGCTGATCTCACCTCATCTATACCAAACGAGCAGAAAAAAATGTTCCGGGACATTTTAGATTTACTTCTCCATGTTTTGACGACACCTCAGTCAACAGTTACGCACTTGCGAGCAGTTGGCGGTGCAATACAAGCTTTTGAAAAGTTCGGAGCTCAAATGTTTCTCGAAACTACCGGTGGACATTTTCAACATTGGATACGAGTAATTGTTGGCCTTATGAACAGTGTCGCTCTGTCTGTAAGATCAATTGCAGTCGATTTTGTCGTTTCTATTCTTTGCGGTGTCTTTGACTTGAATGGGAATATTGAAGATGTTACCCTCATATTTGCGACAGTCTTGCCTGAAGTAGTTGCTCGAGAGATAGCCCTTTGCAGCGTCAATGGGCTCGTCAAAAAACTTGAGGATGCTGAGAAATCTATATGGCCACTGCGTAGATCATTTGCTGATATCGAGGACGCAAATCCCCTCGATGACGATCGTGTTGATCCGCAGTTGTTGCCAGTGCTCACTTTATTCTGTCGAGCATCTCAGGCGATTATAGACGGCGTGCTAGTTGAGATGAGGCTTCGTGGAACAGGTTGTGTAGTGGTCGGTACAAAGATATTGCCCGAGAACAGACAAAAATACACTTTCGACGCTGACGAAGAGTCTTTGTTCGAGGCCGCGAATTACTTTACGCCAGAAACATCTCCAATGCAGAGACTACGGTGGCTTCTTACTTTGAAATCGTTGCACGAGTCGAAAGGACAATGGGTGGAAGCAGCAGAGACTCTTATAATGAGTGCGAGAACAATATCTGATGCTATACCTCATTTAAATTATATTTGGAGACCAAATCGCTTCTCCCTTTGGTCTGATAGTCGTCGGTCACTCTGGCTATCAACAGTAGGAGTCGAAATAGGCAATCCAGAACGAGGAAATGCTCAAGTCATGACGTTTGCAAACTCTTTTCTCGAACCAGAGGGGCTACTAACTACCGATGAAGTATCCCAAAACTTGGAGTTATCTCGCCCAACTCTTCAACATATTTGTTCGTTGTTGATATCTGTTTCAAAAGAAGCTGTAGATATGTACAGTCAAGAGGGTGGAACAGATGCTTTAGCCTATACACGACTTGAGTCGTTGTTGAGGATAGTTATGAGCGTGCTTGACGGCCAAGAAACTCGGGCACTTCAAACCAGGGGACTTGGATTGAATGCAATACTTCAGCGGAAGCAGTACGTTGAAGATGTTACTTGTCTACGTAAAGTCATTGCAAGTATCACAGGTGACATGACTAAAATTGCAGAGAAACTTCTTGTTGTTGCGAAGGACGAGACCAAAAGCTCCAAATCAACAACCTCGCAGAATGAGACCCAAGAGATATTAATCGAAGATAATCGCTATTATGTGAGATTATTGCTGTCGGGAAAGAAACCAAGACGTTTCGAAGAGAGTACTTCACTTCCGACATTTCTTGAATGGGAGAGCCCGTGTATCTGTCGGGTACCAAAAGGAGTTATTGAGGAGGCTTTGAAGTCTAAATCTAGAAACTCAAAGCTGTCCGACAGAGCCATCTGTGAAGCTTTCTGCAAATCAATCCGAAATGGTCTGTTACAAGACCTGGATGCAACTGAACTAGTATTTGTTACAGGAACCCCTACCACCAGAGATGCAAGCCCCGACGTTACGTATATCAATATAGATATCGTTCGTACCGATTCATTGAGTTCAGAGACTGGCCTGCAAAATGGATCCGGACCTAATCTTCGACGGTTTATATACAGCAAACCATGTGATACCCAGCAGGGAGTAGAGTCCAAGTATGTCCAAATGACAGTTGCTCTACCATTTCCTTGTCCCCTGTCACGCCAGAGGAGTATGTTGACCAATCAATTGGTTTCTTCTGATTAGATGCATTCTGAGATTTGAGTCATCGAAAATTATCCCTGTCGGTGTTGTCATAGTAGAATAAGTTGTCGCTCTTGTCGGTACATAGAAAGATTGTTAATTTTTCATCAATCTTCTGCAAGATAAAATGCATTTCCGAGAAGGAAGATTTTCATCCATGTAAATAGGGCATCATCTGCTAGCTTTGAGACCTCGACGTTGCTATCAAAGACATATCTAATGTCTTCGGAGAGATTATTCACAGACTCTCCACCGCTATTTTTCCATGCTTGTTGAGATAGTTCAAAGTTCTTTTGAAGGCGATCCTCGGATATGGTCTGTTTTTGGTCTAATAAGGACCTCCACAAACTTTCACGCTGTTTCGTCGTCTGCAACTGCGTGTCTTCCAAATTACCATTAAGAAGCTGACCAGTTACGCCACCCGCGGACTCTGCTTCCTTTTCCCACAAGCAAAAACCTTGAACCAGCAAAAATTCGTCCGCTTGCACCAGTTTCCTTTGCACTGCCTCTCTTACGTCTTCTATATCGCAAACATGTATACCGTGAGGGTCGCTGCGTTCAGGGTGTGCGTTCGAGAACGAAACAGGAAGTCCAATCCCTTCCTCCTTTAATACATCGCAGTCGTGAAACCAGAAGTACGGATCTTCCTCGCCTCCCTTCCCACTTGGACCTCCGTATCGTACTGTGAAATGGTAATCTTTGTCTTCCAAACGGAGAACGTAGGCATCTTTTGTTGGCAGATTGAGCATGACACCTACCGATGCTTCTGGTGTGTCTTGCAAAAGCAGAATGGTTGACTTGTAAAATAGCTGGGAACTAGTTACGTAAGGAGAAGAAGGAGACGATGATCCCCTTAGAATTGAACCCTGCATGACAGGCGTAGGTGTTGCTGCTGCCTTTAATACACGGAATATGTCGGCATCATCAATCTGGCTCACGGGTTCTTCGCAGTTGTTGTCGTTTAATCCAGAATAGATTCCTCCATCATCATACCCATTGCTCTTCATTTTTTTGGTCACTATCAAACGCTGTGTTGACCACTCTTTCACCATCAAGTCTGAGAAGGGCTGAGGGTGATCACTGCCATCTTCACGAGCTGTGTAAGGAAGCAATGGTTTCACGTTGTCCTTGCCTAGATTATGCATTAGTTCATGCCAAAACTCGAGACCTCCCGACTGCGGTTTGTACTCTGAGTTTTTCCAAGAATATTTTTCAATGAGATCTGCAAGCTTATGACGAGAATCATCGCTCTCGTTTCTCCTAGACGATGATTCACTCTCTACAAGTATCGTTTCTTTGGTATTTGTAAACGATGCCAAACACCACGAGCCCCTATCGACTTCCCTCTGAAGCTGGTCTCTTTCCCAGCCACAAAATCCAGAGAATGTGTAGAAGTCGTCGGAGGTTGCCTCCCCGGATTCAACAAGAGATCGTGCACCTGGAAAACTAGTGATGAAAATGCCATCTTCGAAGTGAAAAATTGGGTCGGAGACCGCCAAGGCAGCCTCGGAGGAAATCATGTGTACACAGAGTAATTGTGGCACTTCTTCATACCACCCACCAATATCGCCTCCAAAGTGGATTCGCCAAGTAGAAGAAAACGCGGAAACCGGATCCTCCTTCAGTGCGTCATTGCCATCACCGTCGTCATCGCTATCGCAATCACCATCCATGCACACAATATCTCGGTCGTCCAACGTGAGGTCAGAGGCTCGATTCAAAAGGACTCCCTGTGTGAAATCATTGGGATCGTGGTCCAAAATCAATATCACAGCCTTGTGGAAGTATGGTTGTCGTAAATCGTGACAGCCCAGGCTGGATTCCACTCTACTCAACACAAGAGATCCCTCTTGCAAATCGTCCACGCCATCGAGTTCTCGAATATAAGGTGCATTTGACGTCGAAAACAATGCAAGGGAATGCGTCTGGACTATTTCGTGGAACGCTTTTGTTTGGAAGCTAAAGGAAACACGCTCGTGACCTGACAAGCATCGGGAGGGGGGTACAAGAGATTTGGAGATCGCAAATGATTGCGCAAAATGCGATGGCGATGATAAAATGGACAGCACCAAGATTGACACCCTAGTGACCCACAGCTTCACGTCGCTAGGTTGTTTCGTCCCACTCCGGATTGCTGCTTCGTTTGTTCCATGCATGCATTGAACTTCCATCGAGGCTTGTTTCTGGTGATAAATAGAGTAGAAGTGTTTTTTCGAGAGCATACGCAACAGATGTGAATAGTGACGACTGACGGTGAAAAAATGGTAGGAAATCTCAAGCCGAAACAGATATCGCAGTCAAATTCTAATGAGAGTATGTCATGTGTCATGGGTCACCATACTGTATGTCGAATGTCGACCGTATGGTAGGACGTATGACCGTCGTACGTACGAGTAAGGTACGAGTACACGTACCGTACTGCAAGGGACTGAAGTCTAGGCCTGTGTCGTGTATGTATGAGTCCCGGTACGTGTACGAGTGTACTGTACCCCATCGCTTCGTATTGGATGAGATTTTAGATTTTCGACAGAAATATTTCTGTCGAGCATCGCAAATACTGTAACTTGTACATAACATTGGTTGCTGAAGTGCCGAAAATTGTACTTACTTCCATTCCTAAGTAAAACTCTACGCTTTTAGTCCAGATTAGAGCTATTTAATACTGTATTAATATTCCATTGATAAATCCATGATGACGAAGATATTCAATAATATCATAGTCATTATTTCGATAATATCCTTGATTCATGCAATCCACACTTATTTCTTATGCCTGCATTATCTTAATTCTGACTACAGTAATTGATTCCAATCACGTACACGTAGTTTACTCTCGAAAAAACATGTTGGTGGGACGATAGTACGTGCAACTGCGGTAATAGCCTCTACGTTGGAAATAGTACATCAATCATAGCATCTGAAAGTGTTCTCAAAAAAATTCGTGAGATTCATCGTCCGGTTGAATCATTGAAAAACACGCTCAGTACGCTAGATAACCTGAAAATGCACCTGCTTTTTAGAATACCGTAAGAACAAGCAAGTATTCGATAGCAAAAAAAATCGAATCTTCATCAACCAGCAATCTAAAACATGTTTTCGGATGTGGCCTGCACTGCGAATGAGGTCGTTCATCATATCGAATCGTTATGTGGACAACGTTCCAAAGTGTACAGGCATAGGATCGATAGCCCGTCAAGAGAACACAAAGGAAATGACAGCGAGGGAAGCGATAGCTCACCGACTTCCAAACTGCAAAGAGGACGTCTTAAATGCTTGCGGTCAAATTCAATACTTTCTTCGGCGAGTTCCGGTTTGTCGTTGTCCGATCACAGCCACAATCACGATCTCGGCGTGCAGGACAGTATGAACTGCAATCGAGCGAACATGCCCAACAAAATTACGGGTGAAATGGGTTTGCAGATCACCTTTACCCAGGACGAGAAATACGAGCTCGCTCTTCAATACCAGGATGATCGCCATTACCGATACATCCATCCGAATGTCTTTGGTCCAGCTTGTATGTCGAACGTCCGACGGATGGGGGGCGGTGGATCTGGTGTTGCCGTTTTCTGTGGTAAGCATTCGGAATTGGGTGATATTGTTATGAAACACGGAGGCTTCGATGACATGAAAGAATTGTTTGCTCTGTCGAAGATATCTACGGAACTGAAGACACGAGGTGGTCTTCCCACCAACGAGTCTTCTCCCGCTTCCAATGCCGCTCGGTCGATTATAGCTTGCCTCCCCGAATTCAAAATGGTTTACATCAGCCCCCAGCACCTTGAGTTCAAGGAAAGGGCGCTCTGGGGAAAACTCAAAAAGCTTATAAAATTTGGCAACTTGGTTTCGAAGATCAGCAACGAGAAACAACCCGAAGGTTCATTTGCGACTTTGATTTCAAAGATGAAACACGCAGACGAAAATGCTTCGCATAATTCGCAAACTCAAACGCCAAAGAGACCTTCGCTGGTGAGTTTGGACGATAGCGCATTCTTGAGCAAGGGAACGAGCATCCGTATCTATGAAGGCGAACACAACGATGCCGAGGTATACCTTGATGCCAAGGATCGGAAACAAAAACCATCTTTGGTATTTGTCGTGCCAAAAAAACGCATCAAAACAATACATCCGACTTCTATAGAATTGGAATGCGCCCCTGAATTTGACCCTCTTCAACAAATCTATGATGGTCTTTATCCAATGATGACGAAGCATCTCTTCAAATTTACTCTGGCACAAAAAAGGATCGGAGGGGAGTGGGCCAAGACGGGAAACCAATGGTTGTACGAAGGCAGGCTCGACGGTCTCCTCTTGACCAGTCTGATATCGGGATTTGTCCAAACCGTTCACAATTTACAGTTGTTAACGATGCCAGAAGAGGTGGAGGTGGTGGAACAAGTTCGCCGAGAGGTAGAATCGATTAAGTCGTCCGACGTGGAGGTCAAGGAAATCTCGTTGCTCACGGATCAATTCATGGGAAATGCCATCAAAAAGAATTTTGATCCAGACAAAGGGCGCATGCGGCTCTTGCGAAGCACCTGCAAAAAATTTCTACAGCATATCCTCCACCTCGAACCAGAAGAACAATTGCCGGCCAGGTGCATGGGGATCCTAGGGGAGGCTACTGCTTCTATGTCCGATGTGTTCGTAGGTGCCACAACAGAACCACCTAGGATCCATCCGAACAAGGATTTTTGGATCACTCTGATGACCCAAGCCGTTTCCAACCGGATAGATATGAGTCCGAATGCCACCAAGCGTATCTGGACGTCTGGGTTAACCGATGCCGGCATTCACAATCTATTTGTAAGCATGGACCACCTTTATTTCTTCGATTTGGGGGTTCCACAGCTACAGTCCCTTCCAGGCTTCATGACAAAATTTCTCTTCTCCTTTTTCCATACCCTGGGTATGCAGGAAGACACAAACAATAGCGATATTTGGGTTTGTAGATTCGTTCCACAAGACGACAAATTGGCGCTAACCGCCGAGACGGAGAACCTCCTTGCAGGGGCTTATGATGCCTTTGAGTTTTCGCTGGACCGTATCATCGATGAAATATTTGACGGCGATCACCATCTCCGATGGCTGCTTTTGCAGTACGTAACTCTCCAGTTGCTATCGGATGCTTCCTTTTGTTTGCAGCGATGGAATATGAAGGGGGGCGGTCGCCCGAGGGATGACAACCATAACCAAGGCCTTGAAAAATGGTTGTGGAGAGCCCTGTGGGATATGTACGTGGCGTATGATATAAACTCCAGCGAAGCATGGGAGAGATTTCAGGTCGAGCATCCCAGCTGTGAGGAGTCGAGGACTTCCATCGGAGACGACATTCGCAAAAGCATGGCACGCTCTATGTTTGGATCGGAGTTCTTTGAGCTCCAATCGGACTCGCTGCGGTGTTTAATAGACACGATCGACGACGAAAAGGAGGAAGAGGAAGAAAAGGACGAAATAAATGCCGAAAGTACTCGCTCTCGCCTACGAAAGAGATTGTCGAAACCAAGGCACGCTAATCCGAGACAGAGGCGATGGACATCGGAAAGCCTTGAGAAGAGTTCCCTTCGGCAGCTGACGGCCGCTACGTTTGACTATCACGATGACGTACCCGGGGTTGAACACTCGGATCTCGATTCATCTTCTTACGACGACGACGACGACGACAGTTCATCACTGCCAGCAGATCTCGAACTTCCCGAAAAACACAACATGACTTCGGTGAAAACGTACGTATCCATGGATTCCGTATTGGAAAAGAACGAGGAATAGCATCAACGATTGGGAAAAAAGAATGAATTTTTTGGGATCTTGCTATGCCTCGTTCGATCGCATCGGACCTGTGCGAAACGAGCACCGCAACGGACTACTCAATTCCAATACTAGAAAGGACCGGAGAAGTACAACGGACTCACGCGAATCGAACGAAACAAGAGATCAATGCACTCCACACAATTGCGAGCTACAAAAATGATCCAGAAGAAATAAATTCTCACCTTCTAGCACCACGAGTACTACTCCTAGCACTTCTACTACGTACGATAATCCAATCATTGGTAGCCACTGCATGATTTATATCGTTCGAATAGCAACAGCCAACCACTTTTGGTATGTGCAGCAATGGATTCGTATTGATCGACCCAGTTTTAAAATAATACTACAACATTCGAAGTACTTTTAGTGCTCATCAAGAGTTTTGTAATACTGCACTTAATGCCCGCCTCGGTACGTACCAAAGGGTACGTATGTACGTACCAAAGGGTATGCTCGTGTCATTTCGTGTCACCCGAGATTTCGGCAGAATCTTCCGAAAGATTGTCCCTCCTTTTTTCCGCATTCTGTTCCCTTCCGTTCCGGAGTGACCAGAATTGAAAAAGAGGAACACGAGGGGGCAAGCAAGCCATTGCATCGTCTACAAGGAGGTGCCAGCATGGTGTTGCCACGGTTGTTTCGAGAGACCGCCCTGTGGGCGGCTCTGCTGGTCGCTTTTTCGTCTCGAGCCCCCGTTTCGCCGTCACACCCGCCGCATTGGTGTTCTTTCTTCGTCCTGCCTTGCTGCCTTTCCCTCTCCTTCGAGGGAAGGCCGCCACCATCTTCGCAGCGAAAGGTGGAGCAGCGCATCCGCCAGAGGGTGCTGCCTGGGATATGGAAACTAACGACGGCTTCCCTGCCCTACGAACTCGACATTCGGTCCAAGCTAGACAAGCGTTTTTCTACGGAATCGGGAACCAACGACGAAAGCGGCGACGCAATCCTCCTCAAGCTGAACGACGACGGGACCTTCAAGCAATGCAACGAAGGATATCGGGAGGGCCGCTGGGTCACGGGGCGCTGGAAAGCACAAGTGGTTGAGAAGGAGGACGGCAACACTCCGGACGACAACAGCAGCAGCAGCAGCAGCAAAAGCAAAAGCAACAAGTGTGTTCTGCTTCTGCTGGCAATGAATCGACAATACTTTGGACCCCCATACGACGTCTTGCTAGAGGCCAAGAGTGGTGCGGTTGGCATCGATGATGCGGGAACGGTGGTGGAGGGCAATGGCAACGACAACGAAACGGAAGAAGAAGCGAGGGAAGAAGCCGCAACGACGAGCCTAGAGGAATCTCTCCAAACATGGAAGGGGACCGTACAAAAAGGAAAATTTCTTCGGCCCTCCCCGGGAAAGCACCCGTTCGATGCCGATACAAGCACCCGTATCGAAAGCACGGGTTTCCTAGTGGACAACGAATCTCTTGGAGCCTTTTCTCTGGAACGGGCACTGTCGGCCGCGTCGATCATCAGGCATGGGCGACGGGGGCAAAGACGAACCGCCGGTGGCGAGGACGACGACAGGGACCGATTGGAGCGGGGCTCTGAGCCAACCGAACCCGATCGACAAGGGGGGGAAAGCGACGGTACCTTTTTCCTGCCGCATTCGTCTTCCGACGACGGGGTCCTCCAGTGACAAACACAGGACGAAACCACTTTTCGAGGACACGAAACTACACCGTTTTCGTGATTTTGAATTGGAACCACACCATTGCGTTACCCTTAGTTCTAACCAATTAATCTATCAATTCCTTTCACCGTGTTCAAGGCGCGTTCTGTTCCTCCGTCTCTTCTTCTTCCTCCCCGGTGATGGGGTCCATTCCCACGGCCTTTCGAAGGTTTTGGTCCAGCAGGTGGCTCGGCTGGACGTTGCTGAGGGAGGTCAGCCAGTTTTTCTTGGCGTCGGGAGTAAAGGAATCCAGGGTCGACAGGAGCAGCTTGACCTGGGGCCGGTGCAGGCCGTTCTGGTTCTTGCAGAGGTTGCAGGGCAGGATGGGGAACTTCGACAGCATTGCGTACTCCTCGATGTCGTCCTCCATGCAGGTTATGAGGGGCCGCATCACCGCCAGCTTTCCACGCCGACTCGTGTACCGGGCCGGCATTGCTTTGAGCTCACCGGCGTGCAGCATGTTCAGGACGAGGGTCTCGAGGGAATCGTCCGCGTGGTGGCCCAGGACCAGCTTGTTGCAACCTAGCTCCAGGGCCTTGGAGTAGAGGATCCCCCGCCGCAGGCGCGAGCACATGGTGCAGAACGATTTTCCGGCCGAGGTCTTGTCGACGACCACCGAATAGGTGTCTTCCTCGAGGATTTCGTAGTCTACCCCCAGCTCGTCGAACCACTTTACGAGAGGTTCGCCGTCGTACCCGGGCTGCTTTTGGTCCACGTGGACGGCCGTCAGCTTGAAGTCGACACCGATCGGTTTCAATTGCTCCTGCAGGTGCATCAGCAGGACCAGCAGGACGGCAGAATCTTTTCCTCCGGACACACACACCATGATGTGGTCTCCGTCCTGCAGCATTTCGTAGTCTTTCGCGACGGCCTTGAGCTGTTTCAGTAATTTGAATTTCAGTTTGCCAACGGGGGAATTGCGTTCTTGTTTCTCTCGTTCCTTTCGGAGCTTTCGTTTTTGTCGCTTCTCTTCCCGCTCTCGCAGCTGCTGCTCGTCTTCTCGCGTGTCTTGTTCCAAGGGGGCAGCTACGTTTAGGCCTACAAGACCCGATGCTATGGACCGATGCGATTGGGGAACGGGAGATACGAAGGCATAACAGATCGCCGGTATGCCCAGCAACAGAAGAAATAGCGTGTGGCGAATCATTGTGTAGATTGAATTGATTCAAACCAAGTGCGTATGTATTGGGTACGGTGTTCAAAAGGAGGAATGAATCAATCGCGAGACATGCAAAGCATCATCAACAGTGTTATTGTACAACTTTCTTTGCTGGTCTATTGCCTTGAGGTACGTAGTACGACAAAGAATATTCACGAACGAAAAGAAGTTTTGTACCCATCACTATCATCATCCGTCTCCCGCCCTTTGTCCGTTGTCTCAATTCGCTCGGCGCTGATGGTCCTGGATGCTGAGTTCGTACGTGTCCGTATGTTTTTCCGTCTGTCTTCGATCGGCAAAAAGGTTTCCGACGGAAGAATACGGGATTGGCTCGCCAACGCTTCGTACTTCGTACTGTTCAAAAACTAAGTGAGTGCAAGCAAGGGTGAAAAGAACTGATGTTGTCAAGGTACGGTACTCGTACTAATTTATTTGCTATTTTATACTGAGGAGGCCTATGTTGATTCTACTACACCAAAAAAATTGGTTTTTACCAGAAGTCTAGAGCAGTGAGAATTCTTCAAGGTTACTACTAGCTCCTAGTACTATGCAAAAGAGAAAGTGGTAGTCCAGTTCACCATAGCCAACATAGTATTTTTAATATATGTACTAGTACTACTGTACTACTAGTAGTACTAGTATAACATAAATATGAAATCCCGCTCTGTGGTTTTGTCGCCTACTACAAGAAACTTTGTTTCTGTATGATTTCTTACTTCCTCCTTCTGACAGCGACTGTCCCGTGACTCATTTTTTGCTATCCGGATGTGATAGTCCCCTATTTAAGTATGGTACCCAGTATGATACCGTGCAATCACTGCCAGAAACATGTTTTTGACTATTAAACTTATTGTAACTACAAAATATTACTACTGAACTATTCTTTCGCCTCCTGTGTTGGCCTCCCCTTCAGCTTGTGCAAGTAACTTGTGCCCTGCAACAATAAATCAGGATACCAAATAATATAAATTGCTGAAAGAATTTGTAGATCACTACGGTCTTTGTGGGCAACACTACGGAGTGCATCCAGATCTAATAGGGGCCTTCTGTTGGAGATATTCCCTGCAGGGCAATTGATTGGATCATAAGTTTCCTTATAACGTTTCCAAACCCTTGAGATAGTTTTGGTTGACATGTTGAAATCGCTTGCTGTTTGATTGCTTGCAGTATCACTTGCAGTATCGCCTGCTGTGGTATCGCCTGCTGTGGTATCGCTTGCCGTATCGCTTGCCGCCAGGCGGAGGATGTACTGTCATTGCAGTTATCTACATATTCTAACTAAGAAGTATCTTCATAGTAACGCGTTCATTATTTAGGACTGTTACGTATTGCATTCATGCTGTAAGCTACTAATAGTTTAGTTGGGGAAAAGCATCGAGAAGACCCATCAGACAAATCAAAGCACAAATTCGAGTCAGCATTGGTTGTTGTTATTTCGCAAGATGTCGATCATTTGTTCAAGAGAATGGGTATACCAATGTCTTGTTGATGTTTTTCCAGCATGACAAAATTGTTTGTTGAGCCAAAAGGCGGCCTCCATTTTCAAAGCATCTTCCAGCGATTCAAACAGCAATCCATCGCTTTCACTCTCGAGAGGTACCGGGCATGCCACACCAGGCGGAACGCATTGTTTTGCATCCTCGATCGTAGAAGGGCGGTTGCGACTTTTCTTAATCCATTTTGGCAATTTGTTCTTTCCTCTCCCGAAAACGTCAAGAGTGGGAATGTTATCGTTTACAAAGTAGGCTCTGTACAGCGCTTTGCCTCCCTTCCCTTTGAAATCTGCAATATCCCAATTTTCTATATTCAGTGCTACTGTAAACTTCTCGCTATGATTGACCGTATCCCCGGCAAAAACTTGTGCCTCAAATAGCTTGAAGAGCAACGCAAGAATGTTGGTGGAAGGAAATGCAGGCATGGCTTCTCCGCTGTTAAGAGTAGTCGAAAACCATGAGTTTGACGATGTAATTAGTTGCTGATCACCATAGTAGCTTGTCCCACCATGCTGTAATTTCTTTTCTCCCGCGGCTTTTTCTCGACTTGCACTAATCTTCGAGGGGATGGACTTTTTTGAATCATTTGGTGGGATCTTCTTTTTGTTTGAACTGTCGACCTTTTTCGAGTCCTTCGATGCAATGCAGTTTGCGTTTGTTTCTTTCGATAACCGACGAAATTGTCCCTTCTGCCCTTCGTTGGTAGCATACTTTCGTTCTTTTCGCCAATCAAAAAGATTTTCCATTGTTATCGATTCCTCTGTCATGAATTCCCATGTCGACACGCTGTACCCATCAAACCCGTTGAATACCTCGCACAACTCTTTGATCCTCTCAGGGGAGCATACTAGCTTTTCTCCCATGCTCATAGATCTTTCATTAAACGCGATGGCATCCTGAAGTCGATCTTTTAGTTGTTGTTCTTCCCATATAAGTTCTTGGGATGATTCACCATCAGTTAGTGGTGCTACACTGAGAACGACACGATCGCCTCCGCTAGATTTGTTTTTGAAAACCGTAATTGCACGGTCAATCAACCAAGCATAAGATTTCTGTATTTTTTTTCTGGCTGCACTTTCATCGTTTTGAATAGCCCACCGTAAAGGTGTGTTGATTTCTAATCCAAACGACAACAACGACATCACGAGAAAGAGTGGGTTCGGAGGTAACAATGTTAACCCGTCCACTCTCATCCMGCCTCGTTGAAGTTCCAATGCATTTGCTGCCACCGCGTATAAACGATTGGTAGTATGAATTGCCGTCGATGGCACTGAATCATCTACATACACCTGGTTGGAAGAATCCAAACGATTCCAACGCTTCGAGACATCGATCTCCTCGCTACTCATTGCAAAGTCATAGGTTTCCTCCGAATCCAAATTAGTATCGTCGCAAGGAATTCGCAAGGTATGCTTTTTTTGACGCTGACTTGATGCCAGCAGCGCTAAAATTCGAGCACCTTCTGGAACATCTAAAAATAGAGGTCGTGCAATCTCACTGCTGGAAGTTGCTCGAGTGTTCGTAGGACGCTTCACGATAATAGATTGAGCACTATTTTTTTTGCTTGTTGACGATCTGATATTCTTCCTAGCCAATAAATCCTCTAGGTTTTGCTTGGAAATCTCGCGACATTCACCGATTATATTGACCCAAAAAGGTTGGGTAGTAGACGCCTTCTTTTTCTTCATAGAATGTTGCTCAAGAAAGTACCAAATCATTTTGGAGTTTAATTTACAACCGAACACTTCAGGGATTATATATGCACAAGCTTCCCCAAAGTAATTTCCAATTTTCTTTTTTGTCAACTTGATTCGGATAAATTCTTTCCGTCTTGCAAAAGAATCATCAGTTCTTGGGTTGTCGAGGACAGTCCAAAGTCCACAAGCCCGTTCTTGAATTCCGCGGCGCTTGACATTAGTGAAATCAAATGCAAAAAGATTCCATTGTTCATAACCTTCTGGAAGGGACTCGAGCAATTTGCGGGTTTCCTTTTCGCATGAATTTCCTTTCTCGATGTAAAGATAGAGCTCTTCACTAGAGTAGCAGAGTATTATCTCGACGTTCATTTCACTTGCATAAGATAAAATACGGTATTCGAAGCCTAGGACAAAACTCGGGAAGTGAAAACTTCCTTCTTCTTGAAAAACTCCACTCTGTTGTAATTCGTTATGTTCAACAATTCTGAAAGGGTGTTTTTCGGGCTGAAGTATGCGGTCTAGATTGGCCTCTTTCAGTCTTACACCTGACTTTCCTTTGATTGAAAGAGCGACAGAACCATCATGCGTAAGCTGTAGTTTTGAAGGGGCGCATTCAACGATTGAATCGGAGAAAACCCAAACTTTTAAAACTCTTAGAATCAATATCTTTCCTTCTGGCATGTCTCTCGGTGGAAGTTGTATCCGTAATCTTTCTTCGCTTATACCCAAAAAATCAGCCACCCTCTTTCGAAGACTATTTCGAGAAGACAAAGCTTGTTGCCATCTTTTCAACGCAAGATGATTGTTGTGACACCAACTGTTCTTCTTGGAGGAACCAACGACGCCTTCATAATCCCATAGAGCATTCATCAAACCCATTGGCTCCGAATACAGGCCACAGTCAAACTTGCATTTTGCAGAAAACGTTTGCGATGCATTTTGGTTGAACTTCCCAGGAGCGAGCCACATCGGACTCGTTATCTGATAGGGAGTTTTTGGGAGCGACATCATTGCAGCCATTTCGATTGCCTCGGCCGCAACACCGAACTGAATTCCGAGTCCTATGAAAGATCCAAGTGATAGATCCACACCAAGTGCAGATACAAAACTTCCGAGAGAAGTAATATCCGCTTCGTCGTCGGGTTCTGTAATGAAGTTCCAGTGATACAAACTCTGAAAGGAACGATCGATAGTATCAAGTGGAGGGGGCTCCAAGCAGTCCATGAAAACAGGCACAACTTCCTCGTGCAAAATCTGCTTCAACATTAGGATGACACTATCCAATGGGATTCGGACCATTTCACCGGGTTCGAACTCATCGAAATAATTATTGTGTGCTCGTCGCGTATAGAGACGATATACATTCCCGGGCCTTACTCGACCAGTGCGACCAGCTCTTTGTTTCGCAGATGCCTGCGAAATCCAAGCTGGTGTTAGCATCTGGCGATGGCTCGCTTGATTGTAGATAATCTGGCGGCAAAGTCCGAGACAAATCACGTGGTCTACATTTGGCAGCGTCACGGAACTTTCGGCAGCGTTTGTGGCAATGATGATCTTCACTTCATCCTTGGCGGGAGCATGAAATGCTTCCATCTGGTCCTCGAAAGGGATATCACCATGAATAGGAAAGCAAGTGTACCGAACCCCGGGTGTGTGAAATCCTTCGATGCACTCCGATATGGCAATGATCTCGGCCATCCCCGGCACAAAAATCAGCACAGAAGACCCCGGAATTCCAACAAGTGTGGCCAAGCGTGCCGCCAATCCGAATCTGTTTTTCATTTCAGCGCTCGTTGGCGCCGTGATGCATCGCTTCTTCTCGTTTTCCTGTTGAATGGCCAGCGCAGCCTTCGCTTCCTGATTCGGCAAGCCAAACTGCGCAAGGTCCTCAACAAAGTACTCCGTGATGGGATATCGTCGCACACCTACATGAATAGGTTCGTTAGGAACATCGAAATACTCTCGGTACATTTTTGTTGCTAAGGTCGCAGACATCAATACCAGTCGAATGTTCTCATTGGTTTCCAGCAAACGTCGGCACAATAAGCACAAAATGTCGGTGTCAACCGATCGCTCGTGGACTTCGTCAATGACAAGGTGGGTACAATCTTCGAAGCGCTCTGGATTGTTAGCTAGTAGACGAACCAGGTAGCCAGTGGTGACGAAGTATGCCTGGGTCTCCTTCGATTCGTATTCCTTCCAGCCATGGCCCATTCGCAGAGCAAATTTGTTTTTGAACTCAGGTTCGCACGAACGTACGCGTTCCACCAAAGCCTTTGCTGCAATCCGTCTCGGTTGTGATATAAAAAATTTGACCTTCTGGAGACTACCATCGGGGGGTGGGGCCTTGAGAAGCATGACCGGAACACGGCTGCTTTTACCACAACCGGTCTCCCCGTGAATGATTGTTACACGATGATTTCGAATGTTCTCTAGAATCGCCGATTCGTGTTCGTCAATAGGTAATCGAAGAGGTTCTTCAATCAATACAGCTTCCGATTCGTTTTCTATTGCAGATTTTTCTTCTTTCATGGCATCTGTTTCTATCGGTGTTGGACGCAGGGATGCGAGGGCGGCATGAAAATGGAGGCGACTCATGAGTGCATCGGGTGGAGTTGTTCTAACCAGGAAAGATGAGTTCATTGTTCTTCGATAGAATCGTGCGATGCAACGCTCGATAAAGTTAGCAGCTTTTATCTCTTGATAGGTTGGTCTGGTTTGGAGCGTCGGTATAGTGTGTCGCTCCATAGGCATGCTAGACATTTCGAAAGCCTGTACAGCATATTCTGACAGAGGAAATTTGGCATCCGCACCGTCCACGAGGTCCAACGTTTTTCGCAGGCATCGTATGATCCCATCTCGGACATAAAAATCTTCCGGCAACAGCTGGGCTTCGTTTGCGTCCCTTGCGATGATGCCGTCGTGTTTTTCGATATTGGTAGAATTGAACACGAGGGGAAATGCTTCTAGGCTATGCAAATTGTACAAGCTTCGAACAAAACTCAACGCCTCTGCTCCCTCTTTGTTCTTGGCAGATACCTGATAGTCCTCGTGGCACTGTAAATAGTAGACCATGGATTGGACGTTAGTTATATCGACAGAGTCCGGTACATTCAGGGACTCACGCGGATCAACGTAATCGTTCCCCATCAACAAGGCCATTTCGACCAATCGGTCGTCGTTCTCGAACCCCAGCAGGTTTGCCAAAGCCGACCTCCTGGCCACGCAAGCGTGGATGCCCGACGGTTCAATAGCCAGTTTACCCAGGGGAATATACTGAATGTTCTTGAAAAAGTAAAAGTCAGAATCAAAGGCAACGACATAGGCTCGATCGTCTCCCGATGCATGTTTTGCCAGCTCCACGTCGGCTTCTTCGTGGCATTCCACGGTTTCGATAAAGTCGCCTCCTTCCTCTAGGAGGGCGTGGCGAACGCAAGTGGGAAACAGCTTCGAAAACGGAAAGTCCTGCTTCCATTCACAGACGTACTTTCTTCGTTTCTTTTTACTGGCCGAGATCATCGTTCCGTGATTGCAAAAGAGTTCGAGGTAGGATTCCTGTTGATCGAGTTCCGCCTTCCGTTTGTGGTCCGTTTTGACTTTTGCTCTGCGGGCTGGTCCATCCCAGAACACCTTAACTTCCGAAACATTGCCCTTGAGGCCTGAGACGAACTCCTTTGTTGCCGCCCGGATTAGGTGGAGGGGCAGCATGCACGGAAGCGCTTGTACCGTGGTCTGTAGATCGGTCATGACTGCTTTCGTGGTCGGACAGTTTGTGGGTTTACCAGGGTTTTGACCTTTGGTGCAGAGGGACTGTAGATGGCGAGAGTAAGCGATATGGTGAAGGTAGAAGGCGAGTCCGTTCCCATCAATCAAAAAACGTGAATTCGAGGGGATCCTCTCGAGAGGCGGAGAACCGCTCTTGGTTGCCATGAAGGCATCGGAAGCGTTCCATTCCCTCCATATAAAATGCTTGCACCCGCAGGACGACAGCAATGACCTGCTATCTCTCTCGACATACGGAGACCACAGTGATTGGCCCCCGTCGTCTTCCTCCGCTTCTAACCAACCAACATCTCGCAGTAAGTGTCGAATGCCCCTTACACCCATGAAAAGAAGATTACTCGCTTGTTCAATTCAGACCTCGTGGACTGATAAAAATCACGTGTCTCTGGACAATAAACGAATTGTGGTAGTGGTGGCGGTGGCGGTGGCGGTGGCAATTGTGTGTTGGGAAAGGTGGACGTTGGTAAGAGAGGACGACATCACTCCGTTCCTACTGATGGAACAGACGAAAGAGCAATTGGAAACACAGCATCGTACGTACTTAATTTTGTAACCAAACCCTTTCCTAAGGAGAGCCCATATTTTTTTACTAGTAGTCTGGTTACAAAAAAAAGGGGTCTGGTTACAAAAACAGGGGCACTGGTGTGCTTCTGCGCACTTGTAACCAGGCAAATGCACCTCAACAGGTACAAACTAAAAAACTGTCTTCACTACTGTAAATACGTAGTATCAGTAATTGTACACAGTATCTGTACTAAAAAAATGAGAGCAAACTGATCTTGATTGCTATTCCAGTACTACAAACTCGTGTAGAAAACACCATAGAAATATTGATATGCAGGGGGAAACAAGCAAAAAACAAGTAAAACACCAGCAGAACGCCGTATCGTATCAGCAGCTCCTCTGTATCAGCAACTCATGTCAGTGTCCTCCATATTGTATCAGTGTCTTCCGTATCATAGAGCGTCCTCCGTATCAGTAGCGGTTTGCTCCTCTGTATTGTATCAGTGTCCTCCATATCAGGGAGCCTCCTCTGGCTCCTCCATATCAGCGACTTGTCGTATCAGCAATTGTCCTCCGTATCAGCAGCTCTGTATCAGTGGCTCCTCCGCATCATATCAGCGGCTCCTCCAGCAAATCGTATCAGCGGCTCCTCCGTATCAGCAATCCAGCGCTGAGTACATGAAAATGTTGAACTGCTTTGTCAATCACCAGCACAAGATGGACGCGGATGGGGACAACCTGTAGGATTATGTGGAGGAGCTCAGAGAGGAGAACGCAGGCACAGGAGAGGACAAGAAGCGCAATCTGCTAAAGTGAATAATTTAATTGCTGCAATTAAACTAAAGGAAACAAGGGGGCTTGGGAAGCCAACACAGATGGATAGGCCTCTAATGAAGGGCAAGTTTTTGCAAGCCTTGGATCTTTTGGAACAGCAAGGTTCCGTGATAAATAGGAGACAATTGATAGCAATGATGGTAGTGCAAACGCACTTCATGGCTCGTAATGATGATATGGCTCATATAACAAAGGATTCTTTGAAAGCTTGCTCTAGGTTCCCTGAATTTTTGACCTTGAAGATGAAGTGGTCAAAGAATGTGAGGGAAGAGAGGGATTGTCCAGACCAAATCTTGATGGGCTCTATGAATCCAAAAGCATGCTCAGTACTTCAATTGGCATTATTTTTGGAGAAGTGGTGCCAGGATGGGCATGGAGCAGTAAGCCAATGGTTATTTATGGAAGGAACTATGAGTTCTAGATCACACATGAAATTCGTGAAGAAGGAAATTGCCCATGGAAAAGCCCAGTATTCTGGATTTTTGAAAAGGCATATTTGGAGGAATGGTGCATTTAATAAGGAGAAGCCAGGTAGGTTGGGAACTCACTCTATTAGGAAGTTTGCTGTATCACTTTGCAGACACACAGGAATGGCCAAGGATGATGTTAACTGTAGAGCTAGATGGAAAGGAAACCAAATGCAGTTACTGTGGCCAGACATCAATGTTGTGAAACAATTGTATTTTGATGGAGTTTGCCTGTACAAGCCAGTAGATGGCTCTGGAATAACTGATGAATGGATTGTTGAACATGTTACTCCAAATATTGCAAGTTCATTTGGCAATGAGGTCGCAGTGATTCTTGGAAAGGCATTGCTTTGGGCTGACAATGGTTGGGACTGTTCCAGATGATATCAGAAGGAATGTGATGGCATCTTTTGTACAGCTGAATGAAAGAGTTAGAGCTAATGGTGTTGCTGGTGTTGCAGTTGATGATGGTGCCAATCCTATTTGAAAAGCTGAAATGGTCCCAACTGACCAAGCTGGGCAAATACATTTTGATGAGCTTTATAACCCAGAGGTTACTAATGGAGAAGCTGCCGCTGGGAATGGTCCTTTTGGTGGAAATTCTGCAATGGGAATGAGAAGATCTCATCAACAGTGGATGAATGTGATGTATGCAAAATCTTTCCCCTTGAAGGCATAGTTTTCATTCAAACTGGTAGTCTTGACATTGAACTTAGATACTGCATTGGCTTTCTTCTTCAGTGCCTCCAGGACCTTGATGTGCTCTTGTCTTTTCTTCATTGCTTCAGCAAAAATGTATTCCTTGTTGTTAAATGATGTATCTCCTCATGTAGTAATAAATGGCCTGCTGAAATACTTTGCTGGTGTAGCTATAGCATCTTGACAAGCTCTGGAATTTGGTACAGTGACCATCTACAAAATATCTTTCTTTTTTTGCAGTGCATACTTTTGGAAGACACTACCATTGAAACCAGCATCATCTAACACCTTCACACCCTTCCTTCATTCTCAATCAATGCTATGACATTAGGATCAGCAATGAGAGCAATAGTACCATCTTTCATTACAATCAGCTCATGTGCACCTTTGCTATCTGATAGACAACCCCTTGTGAACAGAACAATCCCAATTTTTTTCTCACACTGCTTTGAAATTGCCAGTAGAAAATGGTGCTTTATCATGTCCTCTTCCTCTGCCTTGGATTTCAGTTGGAAATGGGGTGGGAACAGAGAACCAGCAGCAGTACTCCCAGCAATGAATATTACCTGCACACTACTCTTGTTTGTTCTGTCTGCACCACAGGCAACAATAGCCAATTTGAAGAGCAGCATCTTGTATAGGAATTTCCCCCAGTCAACAAATGAATGATTTCCATCAAGATTTAATCCACTTTCATCAAGATTTAGGATCTGATTAAGTTGAAAGTCAAAAAATACCAGCTCTCCTTTGATCTCACCATCATCAGTCTTCTTGTCTGTTGCCCATCCTCCAGATACGAGGCTGTTGAACCACAAGTTGATATTGTTATAAGTTGTCTGCTTCTTGGCTCTCTCCCTGTTTTCAATTTTAGAGCATCCATTAACAAATTTAACATCAGGTATAAATAAGATAGACAGACAATTGTAAAATCTTCCATTAAGACAAGATGCTACTACTACTACTAGTATCATCCAACAAGTCACCATCTTTTGGTTCATTTTTTTCTTCCTTCTCTGAACAACCAAGGGCAATGTACAATGAGATTGTATCTACCAGAACTGACTCCACCAATGCTGGGAAAGTTACACAACACCCTGAATTCCAATGGGGGGAAATATCCTCCAGTCCTGCATTCATTTGCTGTTGAACCATCTTTGGAACATTATCATATAGGCTCGGCTACTAAAAAAAGACTATCCAGTTGCACATTAGCAATGCTGTATCTATGTACACAAATATCAATAAATACCACTAGGACCCCCCGACCCCCCCACATGTAGCAGAGTAATCAAGTTAAAAAACAGCAAGACGAATTCACACGTATTGGGTGCTGATTCCCATCATTATAGGATGCTAAATTAGCATTTCTAGCAATTTTTAATATCAGGAATCAAAATTTCAAGGGACCACAGAGAGTAAGGAAGGCAGGAGGAGGCTTCATCTCAGTCTTTTTGAGAATCTGGAATCTTAAATAGTTTGTAATGATGACTAAAAAGAGGTCTGGGTAGGTACTGGTACTACGTCACAGGTACTAGGGCTTTCTGTTGAATCTTACAAGAGACTCAAAAATTGATTCTTGGGTTCCATTGTAGATCTAGCACATTTTGAAAGGGGCAGGTCCAACGACCCATTCTAAAAATGATGCTAAATCTATGATACTACTAAGACGAACAACATGCGATAGATTTTTGGTCTGTCCTCTGTTTAGCATTTCTATGATAACGGGAACCACCCATTCAGGTGGAGGAAGAAAAATCATTTCTGACTTACAGAATTGCTAGTTCTGATTGGTGCTTTAGTAGCAGTAGCAAGCAAGCAAAGCTTGCTGTTAAAAGTCAGAAACTGTGGCTTTTTATTGTATTTGTACTCATAACCTAGTCTAGATTCGTTCCATACATTTGTCTTTCTACCGTACCTTGTACGAGTACGAACTTACTTTCTTGAGTGCATCCTTTCACATCAAAGGATCTGACAAAAATAAATTTAAGAAAGAGAACGCGACATGACACTGTTGTTCTCATTTCCTCGGAAAATAGAAAATATTTGTCCAAAGGGTCTCGTCTGTCATCGTAAGACAACTTCAATAATCTAAAGTTTTGATAATTATGGAAGACTACTGTAAATTATAGAGCTTTACCGTACCAGGACAGGGGAAAAAGCATCTTGATGTGTTTCCGGGATTGTTTGTTCACGGCCCTGCTATTCCCCTGCTATTCCCCACTTTACTTTACGACTGGATCTTATTGTTCTTTCTCCCATACCGTACTGTAATACTGTAATTGTGACTTTTATCAGCTGTTCGCTTTTTGCTGTGTGTCATCCCCATCAGAATCTTACGGACTAATAGATTGACATACGCTTTTCGCATTCTTATTTCGTCGAAGTGAGATTTTTTTGAGAACTTGGACGGCGCACCACCTTGTTTTAGTTAAGGAAAAAATCATCTGATGGAAAAGCATCAATAAACAGAAGCGCAACCAATTATCCATAACAATAAAAATCTGTTGTTGGAAACTCTACATGAACAATAAAGAATCTGGCTGAATCGAAACCCAACATATCCGTGACAAGAAAGCGCACCTCTGTTTTAAGAATGAAAAAGTTCCTTCTGTCGCAAGCGGTCGCAATCGCCACAATAAATGTTCACGGAGCCATGGTGGAGCACAACCTTCGAAAAAGATCTTTCGAACCCATCATCCAAAAAAAGGATCATGATGACGAGGGATCCAGGAAGCTGAATCCATCTTCTTCGTTGGATCTCGGCACCCTCACGGTAGAAATAGGTTCTTCGTTTTCAATAGACGGTAACACACGGATTGTGGGCGGAGATGCCACCGATTCCGAAGAATACCCCTACTTTGTTCTGATGCCCGGTGGTGGGTGTGGAGGAACATTAATTGCCCCAACAGTTGTGCTCACTGCCGCTCATTGCAAACCTCACAACTACCTGGACCAGAAAGTCTCCGTGGGTCCTACCGGAAGATATTACAACTCCGGCCAGAAAATCAAGGTTATCGCTATAGCGACCCACCCGAATTACGCTTCAAGTTCTTTCAACAACGACTTTGCAGTTTTATTGCTAGAAGAGCCCTATAATATGAACAGCAACATTCAATTGGGAATGAATGAACACAAGAGCATACCGGCTGATAACGTTGTTCTCAATGTTATTGGGATGGGAAGGACTTCATACAATGGGAATATTGCCTATGTTCTGACGGAAACGAACGTTCCAGCCATTTCCAACGACGAGTGCAAAAAAGCGAATATAAGGTATAAATTAAACATTATGGACAGTATGATCTGCGCTGGAAGGGGTGTAGGGCAAGATGCCTGCCAGGGAGATTCAGGAGGACCCCTGGTTAAAAAGGACGGGGATACGCACACTCTGATTGGAATTGTATCTTGGGGCATCGGTTGTGCCACCCATCCAGGCGTCTATTCACGGGTCAGTGCGGGACTGGAATGGATGAAATCTATAGTATGCGACGAATGGAATACAGGTTCTTCTGAGTTCTGTGGTGGGCTTACCCCGACGTCTCCCCTCTCGCTTCCCCCAACCCCGGCACCAGTGCAACGGCCAAGCTCTGCCCCAATAACGCAAGATACATTAAAACCATGCCAAGAGGACGATCCGGATTTTTTTAAGAACAGGAAGCGAAAGAATTGTAAATGGGTAGCCAAAAAACCCTATGGGAAAGGAGGGAGATGCAGGAAGAAGCACGATGGGAAAAAGATTGGAGAATTTTGTCCAACGACTTGTTCGAAAAATAGGTGCCAAGTTGTTTCTGAAAAGATCGAAGGCAGCAACAGCCCTTAATCCTAGAGGGAAACGTGTGAACTATTATAAGGAATGAATACAATATGTGATTGGTGATGCATCCTGACAAATGTGTACATTGAATCCTAAATACTTAAATATTAGATTATTCATAAAGCAAACTAGAAACTATGACAATTCAATTGATCAAAAGTTTGATGAACAACAAATCTGCATACGGTTCAGGACTGATCTGCAAGTTTTCTCGCTTTACTCTTCCACAAAAAGGGATGAAGAACCGTCGAGCCTACGAATGCTATGCTTGCCGTGGTTTGCCATCATTCACTTCCGACACGCGCACCGAAGCGAACAGTTATTCAATTCGAAAACATGTAGGTACTCAGGAGATCGTTTGCCGTTGCTAATTATCGTCTGTTCTCAGACTCTATATTATAACAATTGCTATCCGGGCATTCTTTAAAACATGGAAGTCTAGCTTTTGGTTCGATGATATTTTTAGTGGTGCCAGTGTGTTTAGTATGCACTATGACGTAACTCATTTTAAAAAAATTTTAATGCGCATGAACGAGCTCTCTATGTTCTAAATATTGTTGAGTTGCACTTCAACTTCTCCAGTTGAATGCTGGTCATGTGAAAGGAATTTATCAAAGTCTGGGACAAAGTCCAGATTGTGGTCTTGATGGTGGCTATCATCATCGCCCTCGTCCTGAGCCTTGTAGGCAGTAGTTGCTGATGATGAAAAAAAGGATTTCGTTCTTTTTTTTCTTGATTTTTGTGGAGATGAGCCAACATTCGAGTAGTCCCAATTATCCGGTGTGTTTTCTGTCGACTCATCATGATCGATGTACAATTCAGGATTCATCGGAGGCGGCAAGTCCGAAGGTGGCAATGTCAGGATGTGACTGTCCTTTCTCATTCTTTCGCTAGAAAAAGTGGTGAATGGTATTTTGCTAGACACACAGGAGACTTCTTCATCCTTTTCTGTGCAAAGGGTATCTAGATGGTGTGGCATTGTTTCTTTTTGTTGTTCGTCTTCGATACACATAATTCTACTATCCATTGTACTGATGTCGGATTCAGATACACGAGAAGAATATTCTTCTTCTTCGTCATTATAGTAATATTCCGTACAATCTGGGTAGCCTGATCTTCCTTGATCATGAAATTCGCTTCTCGGTGAAGAGCTCACGGCACCATCTTCTTCAAACCCTTCATACTCTTGCCATTCGTGTTTATAACGTGAAATGTACGCCAGGTATTCTTCATGCTCGTCTACGACCATATTCTCCGCAACTTCAGTCTCATCATGATACACTTTTTCTTCTTCAATGTTTCCAAGCCAAGAAGAACGCAATGAGATCATGGCCATCACACAAAGAAACATGATAAGAAACATAATAAAGCCATATGATGATGCCGACAAAGTCTCTGTACAAATAATTTCATGAGATGCTTGAGTGTAAATGGGATGGATTGAGTTGCATCCCATAGTCTTTGAAAGACTCGACAATTCTCGTCGCATATTCGTCAGTGACATAGCCAAATCTCTTGCTCCAGTCAGCATTTCCTGGAAGTCTTGGGTATTGCCGCACTTCTGAAGCACGTCTGCCCGTCCAACCGCGTCGATTTTGGATACCTGCCGCCAAATATTGTCAACAAACTTTTGGGTTTCTGACTTGAGATCCTCGATAACTTGCATAGGATCGGGGCCATGGCACTGGTTAATATATGTAAATGCTGTTTGATATGTTGTACCTTCCGTCCCATTTCCTACTGTTTCGAGAATTTCTAGTATTGTTTCATCTGGTGAGCCATCTGAAGAACTAGATAAACAGACATCTGTACCAATGATTGTAGTCAGAGCTAACGTCATCAGTATTATCCAGCACGTGACAGCACTTAGGATGAGGAGCGGAAGCACAATGTATGTCATGTTTCGTTGAAAACGGGCACTAGACCTTTCTCTCCAAGCCAAGACGACACCGAGCATCGCTATCACAACGAGGCTACCAATTGCCAATAAAAATCCGGGTAGAATCATTAGATACTTTTCTGTTTCATCTCCATATGATTCGATGGCAGTCAACACAATCTCTATTCTATCTGCAAAGGATTGCTGAACCACGAATTGAGCTTTGATGTCATCCTTCAAACGATACTGCTGGTCGACAATTGTCTCTATGATGCCATTTATATCGACGCCAAGATAAGATTCAAATTCAGTCATGTTAACAAGTGGGCAAATAATGTCGAGGTCTGTTGGCACCTCATCGACCAATTGAAGAGCATCTGACGAAAGCGAATTGATGGCTTTTAGGGACAATTCCATGTCGTTCACTGTATTTTGTATATTCTGTTTGTCGAAAGAATGATTAACGCACGGTTTCGAGAAAAAAATACTAACGTGAGGGCCTCGATTTTCGTATCAATAGGGACGATGGCATTTGGTTGTTTTTTGCCGTAATCATTAGTTGGCAATACGTACCAAAAATAGACTGTCTGGAATTTCTTCACTCGTAGTCTCCACCAGCGCCCTTTTTAGTGAACCAAAAGTGAGAAAGAGGGTCAATGGTGTACAAATCAGGGTGATGGAGGCAAAGACAATAAATGCCGCTCTCGTTCTACGCTCACGTTGATTGGTTCCATTCATCTTCGCTTTACTCTCCCGACGCTTTACACATCGCCAAATTTTTCTTTTCGAATGAATATTATCTTGTTCAGCATCGCTACTTGAATTTTGAGCTAGCTTCCCTCGATATTTTGAAAATAGAGGCTTATTACTAGATACACTCATCGATTCGGCGCTTGATGAATCGGAAGTAGAAGCAATATCATCCTGGGTTTTCCCTTCTTGTGTCTCGCTTTTTTCATAATCAGGACGGTGGCTTTCGAAAGCAAGTCCCGAGGCACAGCCAACCTCCTGCCCTTTACATTTCAACACTATCAGTACAAATGCCCATATAAAGAAGAGAAATGACAGGATTATTGATACAACCAAAAGCCCATCTATGTAATCGCGCTGCTCCTCTCGTTCAGAAGAAAACAAATGCGTAAAATTCGCACTATGTCCTAGCTCTCGAGGTGCACGCAAGAATGCTCCCACCGCAACTGCAACTCTCGGCTTTAGAATATTAATTAGATGATAGAAATGATTTGGTAATTTGACAAAGATGTCCAACATTTGTTCGATGTTAGAATGGTAGCAATAGAAAAACATCAAACTCAAACGCATCCAAATGATTCGTTACCCGTACCGGAGTGTAGGTTGACTCGTTGAAAACAAAATCTGACATTTTCAAATTGAAATGTCCGAAGATGAAATGTAATAGAATGCGATAGAAAAATAATTGCAACGGCAACAGCAGCAGTAAAGGCAGGCAAAGATTTCGTTCTCGGCTGCAATGATCAATTCAAATGGAATGTAAATACCTCAGAGGATATGCAATAGTCGTCGAGTGCTGATCGATGGCTTGAAATTCAAATGTTTCAATATTTCTGCCTCCGCTCTAAATTTGTTTAAACTTGGAGTAGTTTTGCCTTGTTTGACCATTCCGAGAAGTAAACCATGTGCCTCTCTTGACCGATTTCTGCGTCCAACAGGTTTTTGTGCAAACCGAAAAGCGGAGAATTGGACGCAAACACACTTCAAGTACGCTGTGTTACCGTCGCTAAAAATTTCACGCAATTGGCGATATCACTTCGTGAAACTCGCTTCATGCATACAAGTATCGTAGACACGTAACGTAGCGTAGCTTTAAGGGAAAAAAAATGTTTCCACTCCAGTGAGAATAAAAAAATAGGCGCGCAGGATTTCAAAAATATTTAGTCCAGGTGATCAAATATTTGTTGAAAAAATTTCAAGTACGACAACGCACGATGTACCTACGTTACGTACGTACCTCAGGAGGTGAGGAGGTACGTACGCATCTAAACTGTAGTTAGAGGTTAGAGCTCTTAGTACGTACTACGTACGTTTCTTACTTACTTAGAAGTACTTCGTAGTTCGTAGTACAGTATGAAACTCTTGTGCTTGTGGAAAAGGTTCACAGTACGGTGCGGTGGTAGTACCAAGTAGTACCTTTACGCTTTACGTAGTGAAATCGCTTCTACTTTCTACGAGACATCTTTACGTATTTGGTTCCTAGGCACACAAAAAGTATCAGCATCTCTTGTCTAGACAACTCCGGCATTTCCAGTCTGTCCACACGAAATAATATTACGTACGGGTATGACCTGTGCCTTGGAACGAGTACGTACGTACGTATTGAGAAGAAGTATTACCGGCCGTTACGGGAAACAATTCAGTTGAGGTTGTGAATTTGTTTTAGTCACACTTCCGTGATTGATTTTGAATTTGAAAGGGAAAAAATCACATCTGAGAGAGTGTCTGAAGGAACTTGGTCCAAGTTACTACCGATTGCTGATCTTTCCAAACAGTAACACGAAAATTTTAACATTCATTTTTCAATGAGCAATTTCACTTAAACAATCATTCTCACAGCTGCAATAAGGGTTGGAAAATCTTGTCTCCAGCTAGAATGTCGTCTAGTCCTGTTGTGCAGATCATTCGCCGTTCAAAGAGGCGTGCTGCCATTATCGCAGCAACGGAGAAAATGAGAATTTTGGAGCCATACGGTCATAATCACAAAAGCGAAGATCTCTTCTTGAATGGAGAGCTTGTCAGAAAGAATAGACAATCTTCCGAAAAGGATTCTCTTTCTCTCAATTTTCCAGATTCCTCTCCGTCGTATTCTCCTTCCATCTTGGATGCTAGATCAAAAGCAATTTCTAATCCAGGAGATAGAACCTTCAACACAAATAACAGAGTGGAATTACCCTCGGCGATCTTGAGCGATTATTTTCAAGTCGATGATCTCGACGAACAAACGGCTTCCGTCGAACAATATTTCGACCCCTACACCGTATTATCTTCAGAAATTCCACCGTCGTCAACGTCACCCAAGAGCTTTTCTAGTTCAGTCAACTCCGATAGATTGAATGATGCCCTCACACAGCTTTATGACTATCATATTGCTGCCCAACACGGTAGTGATGGGATCGGGCGAAAGTGGAGACGCCGAATTAGACGCCAGCTTCGTCGATGCAAACGACTTGTAAACAGCACTGGACCCATGGAATTGTCAATGATGACTCAACACCGTCTCTCTATGCACACTCCCAACAAATCACCTATTCGTGCCAAGAAACTCATTTTTACGCATGTTGCTCATATTCCTACTACACCGGTACAGAATTATGAAAATTTCGCCACGAAGCTTAGATTCTCACCTGTCGCTGGTTTGACCACTACCCCCGAACACGTATACCACTACAAAGCTCCGATTGCTGCAGCATATCCAGCAAAAAAGGGCAACACTTTAAGATCTTTCTCTCGTGCTGCAAACGGTGCAATCAAACCCCAAAAACTTCTGTGATAAACATGGAAGGCAAGCCCATGAAAAGAAGCGACAAGATAGAAGCACCAATGAGAGCAAAATCCACCAATCTTAGAGATGCCATCAGCTCTCAATCTACCTATTCCTTCTCGAATCTAGTGGTACTACTACTACTACTACTAGTAGTAGTAGTAGTAGTAGTAGTAGTAGTAGTAGTACAATTAGTCATTCATTTTGTCTACTACTTTCCATTTCCATTCTACTTCTACCATAAATACTGTAACGTACTTCAAAGTATGATGTAGCTAGAAAGTCTTCCAAACATTTATGTGTGCTTCCTTCAGAACCTTATTACCCCCCATTCTACAAACACCCACAATGTATGCATGTCATCTATCTACCTTGCAGGTGCTCCTCCCACCAGTACAGTATTCCTGTTTTGCAACTTACCCCTAGCCTATTTTTGCAACTGGGAGGATTTTTTTCTACATCTAGTATTATATGAGCTAAAGTGCATATCACCTTTTAAGACCAGTCATATTTACTATTTGCTTGTGAGGTGCATTCTCAACCATTGAATATCCCTAAAGAGTGCAACAAATGCAATTAGAAAGCAGAACACACAGCACCATCTAGGATGGAGGTGCAATAAAATTAGAGGCCTCATTTATTTCATCCTCACTTATTTCATAATTCCTTGATCATCTTACAATTCCTTTACCACATAATACAAATCATATCCCTCCTACTAGTATTACTACTAATACTAGGAGCAGCTAGCTAATTTTTTTGGCATGTTGCCACCACCAGCAGGAGTTCAAGGAATTTACCATGGGAGTCCAACACAATCTCCAAAAGTGAATAATATAACTGCTGTAATCAAGCTTGTGAAGGAAACAAGAGGACTTGGCAAAGAAACAAAAATAGAAAGTAGAGCCCTAACAAAGAGAATTTTTTTCAAGCACTTAAACTTGTGGAACAGCATGATAGTACTTTGATAAATAGGACAAGGTTGAAATCAATGACAATGGTGGTACTATAAATGCATTTCATGGGTTGAAATAATGACATGGCTCATATAACTAGTATTGATTCTTTGAAGGCTTGTTCTTCTAGGTTCCCTGAGTTTTTGACCTTGAAGATGAAGTGGTCAAAGAATGTGAGAGATTGTCCTAAAAAGATTTTGATGTAATCTATGAATCAAAATTTTTATGCACCAGTATTGGTTTAGCACTATTCTTGGAGAAATAGTGCTATGTTTGACACGGGGCAATCAACCGGTAGCTTTTCATTCAACAAGGTCACTAATGAATATATAAAAAGAGAGATTGACATTAGCAAGAATCAATATTCTGAAGGAACACACAAATTTTTTATACTCACATAGTATCAAAAATTTGTGTTTTCCTTGCAGTATTTTCAGACCAGAGTTTTGTCCTAGTAGTAGCAAGAACTAAGGCTACAACCATGGGACAAGTCATGGAGACCATCATGATGTAATAGTACATAGAGTCATTGAATGTCCAGGAGCAAGTCCTAAGTTATTTTTAAAAATTGTCTCCAGAAGAGTGACACAAGAGGGACAGGAAATTACCCCCTTTTGCAATCTGCAGATATGCTGAATCCTCCTTTCACCATTTCTATTACTCACCAGGGATTGATCCAGTACTACTCAACTGCTATGGTGTAGACCACAAGGTCTTCAAAGACCTTCTCCTTAAACGACTGTTTGCACCAGTTTTCAACAAGTACAGCACTGTCAACAACGACAATCATATTGTGGAAGACCCTGAGCAAGAAAATCTTCTTCTGTTGAATAGAGATGCAACTCCCTTGAGACAAATGTCCAAATGGGACATGAGGATGATACAAGGATAGTTTTCAAAAATCAAAGACTGGGCATTCTTGGAAGAGTTTGGAGGGAGGAGGATCATCATGAACTTGCTGATCAACTTGTACAACTTTCAGTGCAGTACCATAGGACAAAACCAGATCCTTTCAGTCTTCGTGAAGACACCACCACCAGCAACTACCAACAAGGTGCCCAATCAAAAAGGGGACCTTCAAGGAGGATTATTCCATGTAGGAGGTAGACCATCACTAACTGCAAATGGGCTGTGTTGCAGCCAAATCCTATTATCAATTGGATTTATTGACGACATTGCTCTGGTTGGTTGAAAGGAGGGGCAATTAGTGGCAGTCAGAATTGCAATCTGATGAGATGAATTGATACAACAAAACAAAACAAAACAAAACAAAAACCTAGAGCAAATTGATGGGGCATCACTCACTCACAACAGGATTCCCCATGGTTGAAGAAAGGAATGGCTGGTTTATTTATGGTATGTTCAGTATTTGGTTTAATTAGCACTGTTACAGGAGTATTCAAATAATGATGAGCTACTCCTGTTGCTTATTTACAAGCTACTATTGCTCATTGCTGTTGCCATCTTTTCCGTGTAATGACTACTTTGACTAAAAAACTAAATGCATGCAAGATGCACGTGCTCAGTACTACTGTACTACCTGTAAATTGTGTTCAATTTTTAAGTTTTGAGTCCCACCAGTCTTGCGACCAAATAGTTTTGTGTGCACGTGTCATTGCCGTGCGGCTATTACAAATCAATTTTGCTATCACAAATCAATTTTTAATCCCATGAGTCATTACACAATAAAAAGATGGCCCATTATCTACACACCATGTTATTTAGTTGTATAACTGTTTTAGTCTTGAACTGACAGTTTGAGCTGTATCATCTTGGTGGTCCTCAACAGACCATGCTTAAGTCTGATAGGCACATGCTTAGAAAGAGAACTGGGAGAGGATTCTAGTTGTATGGGGGGGGGGGGTCAGGGGGTCCAGATAGTGGAAGATATTGACATGCGTGTACAAATATCACATTTGAAATCCACAATCAGATCGTGCTTTTTTAAAATGGTAAGAAGAAGTGTTGTTGTTGCTCTGCCACTGGTTGAAAATATTCATTGCCATTCCAAGAGCCTCCTTCCATATCTGCTGATTAGTCTCTCTGGCTAACCAATAAGTCTCTTCTTTGTCTCTTTCTTGTTGGCCCTTCAGATAATCATAAAAACAGCAGTGTCAGGAACACTGGATTTCTTCTGCTCATATTATCTCTTTTTTGGAGTGGATTCTATAGCAAGACAAGATGTCGTTGACAATGCCAGTACTCCTCCAGCAGCAAGAACAGTCAATGTTCCTCCAACAGCACTTCATGATCCTTCGGCAGCAGATGGTGGTGATCCTTTGGTCAACTCATCAATGACTGGGGGCTCTGAACCCTCCTCATCCTCACTCTTAACAAAGCCTTGCTCCAGACCAGAGTACTCCTTTCCAGTAACACCATTTGCCTCTGACCAATCATAATATGGACCTTTCCTGTCATCTTCACCACATACTCTGCATATTTAGATTTCCAGTGGAGCTCTTCTTCCTCTTAACAGAGGAGTATCATTTCCTACTTCTTCTGAAGAGGGTCCAGTGAGCTGCATGATGTAACCCCTCAATGTCATTCCAAGTATCTCCATCAATGGGGAGCTTCTCCAGTATCAATCCAATGAGATTTGTAAGCTCATCCTTTGAGTACTTTACTGTGCCTGTCTGCTTGTTGTAGTAGCTACTGTTATCAGTTTGATCCATCTTAGTAACAGAAAAAATAGTATGAGGGATGGGTGAATGAGCTGCTGACACCTCTTTGCTGCTGTTTCCAAGCTCCTCTTCCTGGTGCTGCAAAGAATGGACTGACTAAGAGCATTGATTGGGACATTATTTATGTGATGCCATAGTTGTTAATGATAGAGGTGCCATTGTTAAAAGAGGCACTTGATAGACTTTAATTTTGTTGATTTCTGTCTTAGATTCTGGTGGGCTTTCTGTTGAATCTTACAACAGACTCAAGATTTTGATTCCTGAGTTCTGTCATATATTTATTACTTTTGGAACCAGGTGGTTGTTGCTTGGACCCATCTCAAAAATAATAAATCTGTTGCATTTAATAATATCAAAAGTAGCACATTTATAATAACAGGAATGGCCCAATATTTTGGCAAGACTGACTTTTAATATGAATTTGTAGACCTTTCAAGAGGGGCTACACTAGTATTTAATATTACTGTCATTGCAAGACTGGTGGTGGTGGGCGCATGTGGAATTATATATTTAGGCAAGACCAAATTTTAATATGGGTTGCTGATGCTGGCAATAGTGACATTAAAGAAGAGGACCCTTTTGTGCTGGTGATCATGCAGCAACATGCACAAAAAGAGCAAGCTGCAGCAGTGTCTTCCAATTCTCAGAGTATCAAGAAGGAATCATGCAACAATCTGGTGCCTGGAACTGTTTCTTAGGTACATGTCCCACCATCCTTTGAGAAAAACAAGGTTATTAGCAAGGTCAGGCACTCTGCCCCTCTATAATGGTGGTGAAATAAGATGAGCTAATTTCCAACATTGGCTGTTCTAGCAAGGAAGTATCTTGCTGTTCAGACAACATCTGCTGCTCCTTCAGCAGAAAGGATATTTAGCAAGGTGCAGAGGATCATTACTAGTCAACTACATACTAAGAAGCTTGATCCTGATATTGCAGGAAGGATTTTGTATTTTGTAGTATGTAGTTGCTGAAAATTTGGATTGCTCATATGAGAAACAAATGAGCACATCATTGCTAAATAATTAGTGAAGCAATTGCTGCAGCATAGTGGTGGTGTGGGACTACCAGTATCAAGAAGTAAACAATCACCAACACAAAATTACTATCAGGATACTAGTACTATCCCCATTATGGATAATGATGATTATTCTTTCTTCTATGATAACAATTGTTTATATCATGCATCCGTGGCAGTGATACAAACCTATCTGCCTGATGATCAGCATTTTGATCCAGACTCTTGCTCAAAGGAGTCCTTCCCAAAGGACAGCGGTGTTGTTAGTGGTCGTGGTGCTGTTCTTGGTTCTCTTGAAAGTGTTTGAGATACCACCTACAAGTACTCTGAAGTATATTTCTGGGGATGAGGACATCCAAGATCTCCTCCTTGACCAGCACGGTGACGGAACCGGTACCATCCGGTTGAAAATTGGGTTATACTACTAGAAGCTAAAGCTTGTACAGATACCAATGGGCAGGTAACAACAAAGAAGAGAAAGATACCCAAGCCATTCATGCAATGTCCTCACCTGTCCCAACAAAAGGAAGCATGTTTTAGAGTCAGGACCAGTGCTGAAAGACCAATGGAACTTCACTTCTTCTTATGGTTCCATCTTGTTGGCCTGACTTGGTCTGCATCTAGTAGTAGTACTACTAGTACTACTTCAGAGGTTTTAGTTCAAAGCAATCACCTCAAATTGATGTGATAATGAATACAAAGTAATTGTATTCATATTTGTTAAACATATTCTTATAATCATATTATAATGAGAGAAATGTATTAGTAAGTAGCTAATACTGCTACTACTAGTAGTAGAGCACTAGTCTATTACCACCAGTAGTACTAGTAGTAACCTAATACTACTAGTAGTGGTAGTATCAGAGATTTTTTCTTAAATTTTGCGGTTGGCAACATCAGGCAAGATGAGTTACTACAAAGTAGGACTACGTACATTTTATTATGAAACAACGACATTGCAGTGAAGGATAAAAAAATTTGGAACGTTACAACGTTTTTCAAATTCCATTGCGTTGCACACCCCTACCGTACATTCACCAACCAGGGGTCATAATATAGAGGGTTGCACAATGCATCAAAAACTTCTGCACCGTGATATGAAAACTCATATTCCATCCTCAGTGCCAATAAGAAAAATTTCACTAGAGAGTTTTTAACCTCATTTTTACTGCATAACACTGCATAAAGTACACCTGAAAGACCTCATGCACAGGAACACTTCCAATCACTCTCTGATTTTCAAACTTCATATGTATATCTCTCATATAGTTGAGAGTCAAGTAGTAAGTGTTTGTTGGGTGTTATTGTTGTCTGCGGTTCAGAATTTGAAGCACCAACAAAGGGCTGGTGGTAGTAAGAACAGATATGCACATAATAGTACTGTATTTGCTGTAGAAATAGTCTGTCCTTTGTCCAGTCAGTCCCACCAGTCTAGTCCTTAGCAAAAAAACTGTCTGTCCTTCATCTGTTTCTCCTACTAATTCCCCAGTAGTAATTTCTACTACTATTAATCTGGTCACTATTCAACAGTGGTGTGTAATATCACAAGAATCAATTTTATGCCCAGCAAATTGGTTTTTTCAGAATCAGTATTAAAAATTGAACTAGACTCCTGTATGTTCAAAAATTAAAATAGTGGTATTTTTGACAAAGTTATAACCACTTGAAGGTTGGGTAGTAGTATTACAAATATTATGAAGTAGTAAAAATGAAGTGAAAAAGATTCTCTAGTGAAATTTTTCTTAATGGTACCCTTTTGTGAAATTTTTCTTAATGGTACCCTTTTGGGTCCAAATTACAATGTGCAATTTTTAACAGTATTAATTTTACAGTGCTCTACACATCAAACAATAGTCTTAATTCTGACCAGCACCTGCTGCAAGCTGTCAATATTAAAAAAGAAACTATTTTATATCAATTTTGAGGAGTCGCTGATACAGAGGAGGAGGCTATGAGGCTATGGGCGGGGAGGCCCACTGATACCAAGGATGCTACCAACCGGCCAGTATGGAGTAGGTTCTGATATGGAGGATGCAGATATGGAGGAGCTACTGATACAGAGGAGATGCTGATAAGGAGGAGCTAGTCTACTGATATGGAGGATGCTGATACTACGGACTAGGAGCTAGTACTAGTACTGATACGGAGGATATTGATACAGAGGATGATGCTGATATGGAGGACACTGATATGGAGGGAGCTTGCTGATATGGGGGACCCTTTCTGATACAGACGGTTGGTGCTATGGAGGAGACTCGCTAATACTGATGATGCTTGCTGATACAGAGGCTCACTGATATGGAGGCTGATTTGGATGACGCTTGCTGCTGGTGTTTCCTCTTGTAAACCACTGGTTCGATCAATCCACAACTTCCAGATCCTTGAGCCCTTAATGTAAGGATTAGAAAACTTGTCTTGGGAGTACAATTGGTTGGATATTGATGAAGAACTAAAGAGGCGACAGCTTGCTACTACCATGCTGGTGGAGGTTGCTGGTGCTGTGTTACTAATGGTGAGTTTTTTAAATTTTCGGTGCGCAGAGAAATCAACAAGCTCGAAAAGTTTCTCTAGCAAGAAACCCATACAATATGCACATTTATCAAAAGACAAGAGAAAACGCTTTCCAACTGATGGATTCTCTAATTCTGATTKGTGCTATCCTAGCTTTAACAAACAAGCAAAGACAGCTAAAAACTAGTGCGTTTCATTGTTCTCATAACCTGTTTGAAATCAATAGTCTTATTTCGAACTCAAACAAGTACAGAGGATGGAATATGAGTTCGGATGCGTCGCGCACGCACCCCTCTAATTGTCACCCCTGCATTCAACCACATCTGAGTCTACCGCATGGTACTTCTACGAAGTAATTTTTCAATTTTTCTTCACACAATTAGTCTGTTTTAAATCTCAACATTGCGAATTGGAGTCAGTGCCATAGAACAGACATTTCGAACCATGCAAACCTTCTATTCTCTTCTGCTATTCTCAAAGCCAAGACCAGTGGTTGTATTATTTCTTGCGGCATCGGTTGTAGTGGATTCCTTCGCTCCCGCAACGATACGTTCTGGTGTTCTGCAACACCACCGAACCAAAAATGCGAGCGCGAAGACAGAGAGGGGCACACTTCTCTTCGCTGAATCTCCGCAGTATCAGAAGCAGGAAGGAATATTGAGGCGATCAGAATGTGTGGGCAAAGGGAGCTACCTACTATACATCGATTGCGTTGATGACGACACAAATGGATACAAACCAGGGCATGTTCTAGCGCTTGAAATCCAACCTCCCGCTGTGGATGGTTGCGACGATGTCGAGGTGTCTGAAACCATGACCATGAACGAAAAAACAAGAAAAGACATGGAAGCGAACGAGGGTTGGATGCGGGGGCCGTATACGGTAAGTCGTGGGTACGGCACCAGCTCCGAGATAAATGGCAAGGCAAAAAATGACGGCTTTCAGGTCTTGGTCAAGGAAGTAGGTTACAAGTCCCACGTCTTTTCGACCTGCCCTGAGGGAACTCCCGTTCGCTACGGTGGCAAGTTCAAGGTTCCAATTGCGGAGGGAATCTTGGAAGCCGCGGAAACAAACGACAGTGAAGATCGTGGGGCAACAAAGCGGGTGATTATGGTCTCGACTGGGGTTGGGGTGGGGCCTTGTCTAGGCGCTTCCGAGATATTGGTGAACATGCTGACCTCTTCCGACGCAAAGGAATCCACAATTCATTCCATTAATCTAGTGACGAGTTTCCGAACCCGAGAGGAAATCGCCATGGCTTCGGATTTGGACAAATTGCAGCAACAGCAACAAGGTAGAAACCCTGAATTTCACTGGGAATCTATCATCACTGGAGAAACTGGACGGCTTTCAGCGAGTGGCCCAGAATGCTTGCTAGATCAATACGTAAGTCCTGCCATAAGTACTGGTTCCGCCATTCGAAACACACATTACCATATCATTGGAAACGGGCAACTTGTCAATGAATGGACTGCCGGTCTGGAACAAGCAGGGGTTCCCCCTTCGAGGGTCACCACCGAAGCCTACTTTAATCACAAGGGCGAAGCAGACCCCGTTGCCGTAAATGCGATCTGCCAGGCGATCCTCAGATTAGATCGGGATGCAGAGTCGAAAGAGGTGGAAACTGCAGTAGAACAGGCAGCAAGAGATGCATAGGCGTAGGACCGACAGAAAAACAATCTAGCTCCCTGCAGAGCCTGAAGCATTAATCATTCATAGATACACAAAATGTAAAAATACTTCTCTATCTGACACATACGTTACTTGCAAAATGCGTAGTGTACACTTCTATGTTCTGTCTTTTGAAATACCACCTAATCGTTAACATTTTTTGTGATTGTGGAATGATATCACATCACAATAAATGGTCAGAGAGGTTTGTCGATTTCGATATTTTCAAAAGAACAGAGGCAATCTCCACGGCTAATGGTTCATTCGCTCGCTTTCAATTTCGATTTTATTCTAATGCTTCGTCTTTGGTCAAACAGGGATCTATCTTCCAGCCTTCCAACATCTGCTGGAAGATATCAATGTTTGAGACGATCACTCGATGGCGGTTCGAAGGATGCAATAAGTACTCCATTATCCATTTTGAGGCCTTTCGGGATGTTTCAAGCAATATTTTGCGCATGGGCTTGTACTGATCGAGGCATATGTCCAAGACGTACTCTTCGTATCCCGGAGGGTATTTGTAATCAATCTTCGGCCTCTTCATTCCATGCTGGTTGGGAGCCCTTGGCAGGTCGCCTGGGTCTAGTCCCAAAAACGTTTCGAGATCCGATCTCACGTCGTCGGCCATGGTTTGATTCATGCGATGATCAAATTGTCCGATCTCGATCAAAAATAGCCTCGCTTCATCTACATGTTGCTTCCCCTTGACTCCTCTTACGCTGCTCATGACTCCCTTTCTAGAGCCTGAAAAGTCGTGGATCGACATGCCGTGATGACCTAGTAGATCTAATTCCTCAGAAGTGTTCATGGGGGTCAAACCTAATCGAGAAAGATATTTATGGTACCCCATTTCTCCGGTGCACCAGTGGGCATTGTTTAGGCAACTCTGAGCCATCTGTTCCATATCGGTTTCTTCGGAGCAAAGTTCTCTGCAAAGTCCCACAAATTCCTCTGCAGGTGGGAGAGGCTCTGGCGACTGTCGAAGTTTATAATTGTACAAGCTCTGGAATGCTGATATTGGGTGTCGCAAAGTGATGATCATGCGAATATCGGGAAATAAAGTCTCTAAGTTCCGCAAAGATCGATGATGGCCGAGCACAAATGGAGACTTGTATCCCGCCAACACTTCTTTTCCGTCGCCATTCGCAGCTTTGGTCACATTCTCGAATTCTCCTATAAATTCTGCGTACTTGTCATTTTGCAGAAAGTGCGTCTCGTGATGGGGTATGAAAAGCCTCTCGGATGGGTAAAATATTTTGTTTTGCAGGTAAGTGGTGCCACATTTTTGGAATCCAGCAACCACAAAGTCGACCATTTTGGGATCCATTGTTTCTATTACTGCTTCGGGAATTTCGGTTTCAAACATTTGTCTAGATCGGATCCCAAGGTTTGCGGTTAACTTCTCCGAGCCATTCGATTCAGAAGGGGTACCATCATATCTAGCCACGAATGAGAATAGAGAAGCCGCGATGACCAAGAGTATGAACAAAACGATGGTAGTTTTGGATTTTTTGTTTCTCAGCGACGACATGAGGCTTTGTGAAAAAACTACCGTTTCATCTATAACAGTGTACCAAGTTTTTCGCGAAACTGTTTGTACTCGATGCCGACCACGTCTTCTTAATTTCTTCTTTCGCGTCCTTTTGCAAGTGTGAACTTGGACATTTGCTAGCTGCAATAAGAAAGTTAAAGGTAATCTTCATATTAATGTATTTTGACAAGTTTGTTTCATTGTTCCACAAATATTTTTTGATTTGATTCGAAGTCATACAAAAATCGTGAATTTTTCTTTTAATTTGGTCGCGCCTTTTTTTCCATCCTCGAACGGAATGAAAACACAGGAAAAAATTGTTCAAGGCTTATGTCTGTAAAGTACCTACGCATGTGCGTTGGCTGTAGATTGTACTTCCTCGGTGGCTACTGGCGCATGTTAGCCATGCGATGAATATATTTTCAGCGACAACGGAAATACAACGGAGACAAAATTTTCTATTTCTTCGTAGAATTAGTTCACTCGTACTTATTAAACCCAGAAAAGAGCATTCAACAAATCCCCAAATATTTTGAGCAGCACTTTAGTCTTAAATACAGCAATGTCGGTTGTTCGAACGGACAATTTTTCTAAAATTCAATTAAATTGCGTACGAGTACTGTATTACATTTACTTTTCTTCTTTAGTCGTAGTACGTTCTGCGGAAGTAGAAGTAACAAAGATTCGCGAAGAAAAAAATGAATCATCGATTATGTTGCATCTCTGAAGTAATCCTTCATCGTATCCGTAATACAATATTGTGCTGGTAGGTTCGATTACCGTACGTATTACGTATTGTATCCTTCGTACTACCGTCAAGTTTACGTTTTTTGCTTCAGGCTCCGCGCGCGGTACTCGACAAGTACACAAAGAAAATGTAACTATTTTTGCAACCATGTAGGATGTAGTACATAATATACGTAGGTGCACCAAGCCAGTGCGTGGTGCGTACTGTATCAGGGTGATTGATGAGAAGTACT